TCTATGTGTCCATTTTCTCCCCCAATAATAGATATTTCAGACACTACAACTGAGTTTTACTTGAACTTTGCTAAATCAAATGGAACATTTATGGGCTCCCAAATAATTTAATCATCAGCTAATTATGTGATATTGGTCTACATATCCCTTCTGGTAGATGAGAAGCCTTTTGGGTGATTGCTCAGTCAACAAAGTATTAAATACAATTTTCAAGGCCTCTGTTAAGTTTTAAGTTTATGTAATGTAGGCATCTCATTTCAGTGTAGTTATGTAAAAAAAATAATAATAATAATTTTATTTGATGTATTTACCCCCAAGGTAAAATGTAACAGATTTCCTCCTGGACAGGAGTAAATGTGAGAAGCATTGCTTTAAAGTCAGCCAAGAGCTAGGAGTGTCTAAGAAACTGTAATTCCAAGGCCAGAGGCACACAGCTGGACAAGAATTTAAGACAACTCTTTATTGACTCCCTCAACACACAATGCCTTAAGCAATGGACAGAGTCCTCCACAGTGACTAGTGGCTGAGTATTAAAAAAAAAAAAACAAAGGGTGGCCAAGATTAAGATTAAAAAGGTGTGACACAGCTTTCTCTGCCTTGTCTCCCCTCCTCAACAAAAAACAACCAAAACAGCCAAACAAAAAGATCGAGGCTCACGTACTGAAAGTGCCCTTGCAAAAATTATAACAGTGAGAAAAATCTGACATAGGAAAATTATGACAGTGACGGAAATCTGACCTAACCAGCTCCATCTTGCTTCTAACTTCCAAGGTATCCTTGTTCATTCCTGGGTGTAGGCTGAATTAACTTTGGGAGGGGTTTAGTTTATAGTTTAACTTTGAAACAAAGATGCTAACAGCCCCTCCCTGAAACAAACTCACTCATTGCCTGGGGACCAGACTGCCTTTGTAAAACTAACAAATTATTTACAAGATTAGAAATTATGGCTTGGGAGTATTCCCAACCTCCCCAATTGCTCCTGTGGATAACATCACTATTGTAAAACCTAACATTGGTGTTCAGAGATGTTTCTGATGAACCAACTGGTGTCACCCACAAGGGTAATCCGGTTCAACTAGTTCTGCGATCCCACCCAGGAACAGAAGACAGCAAGAAAAACCAGCTTCAACCCCATATGATTTCATCCCCAACCCGACCAATCAGCTTTCCCCATTCCCTAGCCTTCTGCCTGCAGAAATATCTTTAACAAACTCTCACCTCCAAAGTTTGGGGATGGCTGATTTGAGTAACAATAAAACTCCAGTCTCCCATTTACCTGGCTCTGCATGCATTAAACTCTTTTTTTTATTATTATTATACTTTAAGTTCTAGGGTACATATGCACAATGTGCAGGTTTGTTACATATGTATACATGTGCCATGTAGGTGTGCTGCACCCATTAACTTGTCATTTACATTAGGTATATCTCCTAATGCTATCCCTCCCTGTGACAGGCCCTGGTGTGTGATGTTCCCCTTCCTGTGTCCAAATGTTCTCATTGTTCAATTTCCACCTATGAGTGAGAATGTGCAGTGTTTGTTTTTGTCCTTGCGAAAATCAATGTGCAAAATTCACAAGCATTCCTATACACCAATAACAGAGAGCCAAATCATGAGTGAACTCCCATTCACAATTGCTTCAAAGAGAATAAAATACCTAGGAATACAACTTACAAGGGATGTGAATGACCTCTTCAAGAAGAACTATAAACCACTGTTCAATGAAATAAAAGAGGACACAAACAAATGGAAGAACATTCTATGCTCATGGATAGGAAGATCAATATTGTGAAAATGGCCACACTGCCCAAGGTAATTTATAGATTCAATGCCATCCCCATCAAGCTACCAATGACTTTCTTTATAGAACTGGAAAAAAACACCTTTAAAGTTCATATGGAACCAAAAAAGAGCCCGCATTGCCAAGACAATCCTAAGCCAAAAGAACAAAGCTGGATGCATCATGCTACCTGACTTCAAACTATACTAGAAGGCTACCGTAACAAAAACAGCATGGTATTGGTACCAAAACAGAGATATAGACCAATGGAACAGAACAGAGGCCTCAGAAATAATACCACACATCTACAACCATCTGATCTTTGACAAACCTGACAAAAACAAGAAATGGGGAAAGGATTCCCTATTTAATAAATGGTGCTGGGAAAACTGGCTAGTCATAAGTAGAAAGCTGAAACCAGATCTCTTCCCTACACCTTATATGAAAATTAATTCAAGATGGATTAAAGAATTAAATGTTAGACCAAAAACCATAAAAACCCTAGAAGAAAATCCAGGCAATACCATTCAAGACATAGGCATGGGCAAGGACTTCATGTCTAAAACACCAAAAGCAATGGTAACAAAAGCCAAAATTGACAAATGGGATCTAATTAAACTAAAGGGCTTCTGCACAGCAAAAGAAACTACCATCAGAGTCAACAGACAACCTATAGAATGGGAGAACATTTTTGCAATCTACTCATCTGACAAAGGGCTAATATCCAGAATCTACAAAGAACTCAAATTTACAAGAAAAAAACAAACAACCCCATCAAAAAGTGGGCAAAGGATATGAACAGACACTTCTCAAAAGAAGATATGTATGCAGCCCACAGACACATGAAAAAATGCTCATCATCACTCGCCATCAGAGAAATGCAAATCAAAACCACAATGAGATACCATCTCACACCAGTTAGAGTGGCAATCATTAACAAGTCAGGAAACAACAGGTGCTGGAGAGGATGTGGAGAAATAGGAACACTTTTACACTGTTGGTGGTACTCTAAAGTAGTTCAACCACTGTGGAAGACAGTGTGGCGATTCCTCAAGGATCTAGAACTAGAAATACCATTTGACCCAGCCATCCCATTACTATTAATGGGTATAATCCCATTTAATTATGGATTATACCCATTAACAGTAATGGGTATAATCCCATTAATACCCTAAGGATTATAAATCATGCTACTGTAAAGACACATGCACACGTATGTTTATTGCACACTATTCACAATAATAAAGACTTAGAACCAACCCAAATGTCCATCAATGATAGACCGGATTAAGAAAATGTGGCACATATATGCCATAGAATACTATGCAGCCATAAAAAAGGATGAGTTCATGTCCTTTGTAGGGACCTGGATGAAGCTGGAAACCATCATTCTCAGTATTAAACTGTTTATTGCATGTAGAGGACTACGTGCTCCCAAATGAGACTTTCCGGATAAGTCCTGCTCTTGCAAACGAAGCAGGGCGTTCCTTCCCTGTAAACAGGGAGGACAAAGGAGCCAGCTGCAAACAGCAGACCCTGGGGGCTTGTTTATGTGTAAACATCTTGAAAATCCAGAAAGTCAGGGAAAGGTCAGAAAAATAACAATGTGTCTTGTGACTTGGCAACATTCCACAAACGACTGTATAAAATAAAGCAGAGTATGCCATTCGAGGCGGCCCCCATGTTTGTCTTGTGTTGTCTTGTGTGTTCATTCCTTTGTTTAGGAAACACGTGGACCCCAACAATTGCAATTTCCCCATCTTGATAAATTGGTTCTATCTGGGCAGCAGGCAAGAAGAGCCGTTGTGTGGTTGCAATACCTACACCAATTCTAGGGAGTCAACCAGCATGAATTACAAGAGGTTCTATTGTCCCTTCTGCAGATAACCCCTTCCTCCCTCTGGCCCCAGGCTGTCTGGCTGTTGGCTATTTCTGATGTCTTTTCCCCTTCAAGGATGCCTTTAAAGTTCATTTTAATGTATTTAATCAGAATTAAAATGTTATAAAGGGAAGGCAAAATAAGCAGTATGTTCTGTCCACCCTGAGGCCCTGTGTTCCCTACTCCACTTTCCTCAGAAGAGCCCTGGAATAAGAGGTCTGTGGACACGTCCATTTGTTGTTTGTGAATGGCATGATCAGCGGTTCTCAAAGTGTGGTCCCCAGGCCAAGATACCTCAGGATCACCTGGCAACCTATTAAAAATGCAAAATCTCAAACTCCAAGTCAGACCAACTGAATCGGAAATTATGGGTGTAAGGGGATCCATAATTTGTGTTTTAACAAGTCCTCCAGGTAATTCTGACACAACTAAATGTGAGAACCATTGGTCTGGATAAATAGGAAAAAACTGCAAAAGTGTAACATATTTTGACGACTTTACAAGCAAAGTTAAAGCCTGACCTTCCCATACTCTATTAGCACTCCGCACATCCCTTTAAAGTAGCAGCTATCGTATTCTATAGTTACTGCTTTCCAGTGTCTTTCTACTAAACTGTGGTCTCTTAAGAGCAGGGACTGTGGCGTTTTCAATTGTCTCTAAGAGCATAGCACAGGATAAATAAGTGCTTAAATGGAAACAAATAGTGTCATTTATTAAGAAAAATTTGAACTTTCTTTTAAAATGCCTTATAGAGGTCTCCCTTAGTAGACAAAATTGTTTACCTCTTTGTGCTGTAGACATATGTTTTCCCAAACACCCTACCTCAGTTGGGTTCTCTAGGTACTTAACGCTTTCCCATTGGTTATGAATTTCTACTGTTATTTGGGTTAAACTTTTGCAAGGCTTAAACTGCTGTTATACCGCTTATATATTTGTTTGCTATATAGTCTCAGGAATTTTCTACTAACTTAATGAAGCATCTCTATAACACTAATTTCCAACATTATCATACTGTAGAGCTTATATATAATATATATTATATTACATATATTATATATATATAATGATCATTATTAAAATTACTGTCAACGTGATAAGCACTTTATGTAAGCTAATTTAATCCTCACTAAAGCTCTGCAAGGGTATTTACAAATGAAGTCTACTTTACAAATGAAGAAACTGGAGCTCAAAAGCTTCAGTGTGCTGCTCATCTCAGATCTGTCTCCCATCCTCCATACTCACATATCCAACTATCTACTAGACATCACCTGGATGAACACAACTTGTGTAGAACTGATGCATCTTCTACCCCAAAGTTGTCTCTCCTCGTGTAACTCTTACCTCTTGAACAGCACTGCAATCCAGACCCCTGGGGCCAGAAACTTGAGTCATTATTCACAGCTTTTGCTTCAACATTTCCCATATGCAATTGGTCCTCAAGTTCTTGCCATTCTACTTCTGTAATACTAATCTCAAATCTGTATCCTCTTCACCTTCACAGCCTCTTGTGCTGGCAGCAGGAGACCTGGGGAAGAGGAGAGTCCAATGTGTTGGAAGATTCCCATGGGAGATCCCCATGTTATTTATGGGATTCCAACAGGGCTGCCTTGCCAACCTTCAACCCAAGGTTGGGCATGTATCACAGCCTGGCCAATCTGTATATTCCAGCCTGTTGACCTGGAAAGAACCTACTGCTTATTTTGCCTTCCCTTCCTGACATTTTAATTCTGATTAAATAAATTAAAATAAACTTTAAAGGCATCCTTGAAGGGGAAAAGATGTCAGATGCCAAAAACCAGACAGCCTGGGGCCAGAGGGAGGACTGGGTTATCTGCAGAAGAGACAATAGAACCTTGTAATTCATGATGGTTGACTCCCTAGAATTAGTGTAGGTACTGTAACTGCCCAATGGAAGGTCCAGGTAGACCAAGTTGATCCAGAGGCCCAGTCAATGCACATTTGCGTGTGAATTACTAGGAAACAGAGAGGCTCTCTTTCCACTGAAATTGTCAGGTATAAGAACAATACATGCTTGGAACTTCTGAGTGTCATTATGGGGAGAGGGTCTACCGAAACATAAAACCAGCTCAGAGGAAAGCAAAGCTGAGAGATGAAATGAGGAAGAGGCAGAAAGGGAGGAGGAGAGAGTAAGAGGGTCAGATAAGGCTGATGATGTTGGAGTCTGATGTGAGCACAAGAAAATCTTTACTGGCTAAACCACTGAGATTTTGGAGTTGTTATAGCAGTTAATATACCCTGGGGAACATACCCAGAAACATACATAGTAACAGAGTTCAATGTACCCCTCTGCCCAGTGGTTTGAGGGCACTGGATGGTTTCCTTAATCTATGTTTCCACATTAGAAAGTAGTTAAGGGCATACTTTTTGGAGGAAGTTTATTAAATTAAAAAAAAAACTACAATGAGTAATTATAAAAATATAATTTCACTCTTTTCATTATTTATCACAAAAATTTAAAAATACCAATATACAGACAAGCGCAAGTGAACTGGAAAAGAGCTAAAAACTGTATAAAAGACAAACCTAAACTCAAGAATATATGAGCAGTGACGTACACCACATACTCTCAAGTGAGTTCAGAAAGCATATTCCATGCTGGACAGGTTTCTTTCCAGGTCAGTTTTTATTGGCACCACACCTGGAAAGCTCCCTAAGCCAAAGTTCTTATGTGTCAGGATCTTCCTAGACCTCCCTTGGAAAGCATTTCTCATAAAACAACTCTCACCAGACAGGCTGACTTATTGTAGGCGCAAAAATCATAAATGCCTCTCATAGGCCCCATGGAGCTTGGAAAAAAAAGATCTGCTAATGAAAACAAAGCATTATAAAAACGGAAAAGTGGCACCTAGTGGCCACTTAGCCGCTTTTCTTTATGGCTTCTAGTTAATCATAGATGTCGGCCTCTCTGCCCATAGCATTGTGCTGAGCAAGTACGAATCTCCAATTCCAGAGCCTACCCAAGGGGGAGATACCTCTCGGCAGCATGATCTGAACCCGGATACTACTAAACATGGTCTGGTAACTAAATATTGGCTATTTCTTGTAGCTGTGCCCCAGATTTTATGGAGATCCCTCAATGACTATGATGACAAAGACCTCCTTTTCTGTTGTGACACTATAAATAAACACTTCCCTTTAAATTCCATTTATTTACTAACAGTCTCTATTCTGTACTTTCCTGTTTGTCTTTCTGTTTCACGACAGATTTCTAAATTTGGTGATGACCATATAACTCATTTCACTTGATTCCAAGTATCATCCTGTAATAAAATATCTGATATTTTAAAGTTTATTATTTTCAAAAGTTTAAATTTGGTAACATGGATAGAGACTTGTTATTTGATCTTACAGATTCAAGGATCAATAAATAATTGTTCTTCAAACATGGTACTTAAGGAAAAATATTCTTATGGTATAAACTTTGGTCTACTTCAATAGTAACCACTTAATATAATGTTCTAGAGTAGCGCTGTCCAATAGAAATATAATCTGAGCCACATGTATAATTTTATTTTCTAGCCACATTAAAAAAGTAAAAAGATACAAGTAGAATTTTAATGTTTTATTTAATTCAGTATATCCAAAATATCATTTGAACATGTAATTAATATAAAATTATTAATGTGATATTTTACATTCTTTTGGTAATACTAGTCTTCAAAATCTGGTATGTATCTTACATTGACAGCACACCTCACTTTGTGCTAGCCACACTACAAGTACTCAGCAGCCACATGTGGCTAGTGGCTACCACACTGGACAGCACAGTTCTAGGTTCCACCCTAACGCCCAAGTCCTGTGGATTAAAATCCCAGGATCAGAGTTGGAAGTAAACATAGAGATCAAACCTCCTTTTAAAAATGAGGCAGCTGAGGCACAGAGAGTTTAAATGGCTTGCATGAGGTCACACAGCTAAATTCAGCCTCAACAGGGTCTTCTGATTCTAGGCACTCTTCCCACTTCACTACATTATTGTACTGGTAATTCTAAGGGTTAAAAAAAAGTCTACAGTACTGTTTTTATACTTTTATGCAATTTGTGGATATGTTCTTTCTCACCAAAGTTCAAACAATTGATTTGTAGGAGAAAAAAGTAACATAGTGTATGCCATAAAAATATGTCATGTCCAACAGTAAAAATCAAATTTAGTTGAAGACAACTAAAACATTTTGAAGGAAACACAAACCTTAGGAGAGCGACGGTATCATACGATGCATGGATTAGATTCTGAGTCCAGGACAAAAGGATCTACAGAAAATGTTAGAGTGAACTAATAAAGGATCAAACCATGCACAGAGTATTCAACTGGCTATCTGCCCACTGGTCTATGGAATCGAACAGCCCCTCCTCTTGCAAAGAGAAAAAACTGCCACTGTCTGAGGCAGCACTGGTCTGCCTCTAGAAACTCTGCCTCTCAAATCCTGGCATCAGGAGGGCAGGTCTGCCCCCATCTGCTTTTGAGGCCATCCAGCCATGATGGCCTACCCTGCCACTCCTGGCTCAGGCAGACTCTTTGGAAGCCAAGTCCAACCCGCAATGGTTCAGTCCCCTAAAAAGTGATATTGGTAGGCAGGCCTCCCTGCCCAATTTAGAGAACACAGGGGATCTTTCACACTTCCTTAGACTTAACTATAATGCTTAGGCTGCTGCACACCAATTCTCCCCATCTCATAGGATTTCTTTGGCTTATCCTAAACCTGATGTCTCTCAGGTCCTCGAGTGTCAGACCAGGAATGGTGCCGACCCTCCAACATTGCTGGGACACTGTATCAGTTCAAGAGGTCAGGGTGCCAATACATCCTTGTCCACGCAGCCCCTGCACATTTCACACTTGAAGGGAACATTTGTTTATGGTTATTGTCTGTTGGTATGTTTGTCATTAACATGTCTGACAGAAGTTCTAATCTATCACCTACAGCTAAAGAAATAGCATGCAGGGTCAAAATGCTTTGTTTTGGCGAGGGGCTCTGAGGGAAATTGGCTGGAAAGATGTAGCACCATATAGAACAGGAAACTGGATTTGAAGCCCACATTGAAGTGTGAGGGCTGCCGCATGAGTTCCCAGCCTATCTGACTTTCATTTGTGAGGCACAAGAGAGAATATATGGGAGCATACTCGGTAAGCTATGAAGAGATACCGAAGCAGAAAGTGTCATAAAGTAGGATCCCCGAGAAGGTAGACATGCAGTATTTTAAATAATCTTAATTCTTATACTCCATTTGAGCCATCTCTGGATTAATTACTGTTAAAAATGCTCTCCAAATTTTAAATTATAACTAGAAAATCGGTTTTAAAATTATTTCTCATTGTCTCATAATTTAAAAAATGTACTTGTCATTTGTTTCATTACCTTTGGTTACAGGCAATAATAACTGTAATTACCTAGTTACCTAGAAAGCTACAACTAGTTCCTAGGTCAGTTAGTTAATCATTTAACCAGTGAGACCAATGTTTTCCCAAATGTGTATAAAGAAACTTGTTTATATACATTACACATTTAAAACTATGAATTCAATGTGTGACTTTACACAAGACATTTAATCTGCCCAGGCCTACTTTTTTCCTCTAGGACAAATCTATCCCTAAGTATTTTTTCAATGTCAAAAACTTAATCTAGCTATAATAGAGATCTTCAGTGATTATATTAAGAGTAAATCTTATTTATTTTTTTTGAGATGAAGTCTCACTCTGTTGTCCAGACTGGAGTGCAGTGGTGTGATCTTGGCTCACTGCAACCTCTGCCTCCCAGGTTCAAGCAATCTTCTCACTTCAGCCTCCCAAGTAGCTGGGATTATGCCTGGGTAATTTTTTTTTTTTTGTATTTTTCGTAGAGATGGGGTTTCACCATATTGGCCAGGCTGGTCTTGAACTCCTGACCTCAAGTGATCTGCCTGCCTCGGCCTCCCAAAGTACTGGGAGTTCAGGCGTGAGCCACCATGCCCGGCCTAGTAAGAGTAAATCTTACATGCAAAGGTTAATCCCCAAGATCTAGGGCCCAAGATCCTTCCTTTTCTGTAAGGAAAACTGAAACTCTTTTGACTTTCTGCATTTTAAGTAATAAATCATCTCACTTAAAATTCATCTTAAAGTGCTCAACTGAGCATACATATCCCAGCTCTGTGCTTGCCTAAGTCTCCAAAGATCAAATACAGTATTCAATGTGATTATGACTATAAATTGCACTGTCCCTTTAAATGTTCAAGTACTCACTGTTTTCTTAAAGTGTGTAAGCCCTATCCTCAATTAAGGAAATTCACAAGGAATGGAAAATGTTCCAAATTATACAAACTTACTATTATAAATGAATCTTAGACACAAAGGAAAATATCAATATATTACATTACCCCAACTAAAAAAAACTGCATCAAAAATAAAACAAAGCCAAAACAATAGGTATGTAGTATTCTTGGTTAGAAATATTTTAGCAAAAATATAGCAACTAGTGGATTTCAAGCCATTTCACTGAATAAAGGAGTCTATAATAAACTTGGTTCTCTTGGGAGGAAAACATATTTCCCCACATCCCTGTGACAATAAGATGCAAATCTATAAAAACTGGTAGAACATTAATAAAAGATACAAACAATATCAATACAGTACTGAAGAATAGTTGAGACAGTTTTTAGTAAATAAAATGCTTTAAAATGTTTCTCATTTTTGGAGTTAAAAATCAAAGGCTAGAGGGTCCACTGGATGTCACTGAAGTCCCCAGGGTCTCCCAGGCCCCCCTCTGCTTCTAAGTAATTCATAAATGCAGCCATGGCTGTGTCATCATTGTCACACAGGGTATCGAAATCCAACTGTGCACCATCACCTATGAATTAAAATACAGGCCTGTGTAAGTAAAGGTGATCAGGAAAGTCATACGTTTCACACATTTAGAGGTTAAAGAATGATTGTGATTAAAAAAATGGCAAAGCAAGGCTAGAAAACCATAAAATGTGTTTTTGAAGGCAAAGTGTGTATCTTAAGCTGCAGATGGCTGATATATTTTTAAATAGGTTACCTAGTTTTATAACAATCTTCTGCCAGATAAATTGCACCTAATTCATCTGTTACAGAGAAGTAAGCTAGTCTATGAGTTTTCTAATAGGAAATTACATTGCTAAAGGGTACAGACTCTCAGAGAGCTGGAAGGAAGCTAGGAGATTTAGTGTGTGTGTGTGTGTGTGTGTGTGTGTAAATCCTGGAAAGAGAAAATGTAATCTGCTTGTGAAAGAACACTATCTGTTTCATACTGAAATGAGAAGCCTAAGACAAAAGCATTTTCTAAAACTTTGGAATTTTCTTACAAAAGGGAGGCAAATCAGATTTTTATCAAAAAAGGAAATAAGTAGGAACCATGGAGATTATAATTAATTTAGAGATAAGAGGTTCTAGAAATTAGGGTTAAAATGCAGATAAAGACTAACCGAAGGTTTGCATATATGTGTCAAAGAACAATGGAACTTCAGATAATAAATATATGATTCTCTGTGTGTTTAAAGTGGATATCCAAATTCCTTCAAGACCTTTGATTCTCATTAGTGTATGCTTTAGCAGAGCAATGTCAGTCATGGAGGATATGAAACTATATACAATAGTTTGAATTGTCCACTAAAATTCATGCATTGGAAACTTAATCCCCAACACAATGGTGTTGATAAGTGAGGCCTGATACAAGGGGATTAGGTCATGAGGCCTTTGTGCTCATGAATGGACTGTCATCATCGTGGGAGTTGGTTAGTTATCTCAAGAGTGGGTTTGTTATAAAAGTGAGTTTTCCCACATCTTGCTTTCTTGCTCTTACGCTCTCTTGCCCTTCTAACTTCCACCATGGGAAGATGAGGCATGAAGGTCCTCATAAGATGCCTGCACTACACTCTTGGACTTCCCAGTCCCCAGAACTGTGAGCCAAATAATTTCTGTTTATTACAAATTACTCCATCTGTGGTATTCTGTTACAGCAGCATAAAACAGACTACAATACCACATCACTCAATTTACTTATCTGGACTTTGCATAAACATTGTTAAAATGAATGATTACATCTTAAACTTTTTTGACTTCTATCCTTTATGAATTCTTGGTAATTCTTGAGAATGGACCATTTTTTTTTTTGAGATGGAGTCTCACTCTGTTGCTCAGGCTGGAGTGCAGTGGCACGATCTTGGCTCACTGCAAGCTCCGCCTCCCAGGTTCACGCCATTCTCCCGCCTCAGCCTTCCAAGCAGCAGGGACCACAGGTGCCCGCCACCATGCTTGGCCAATTTTTTGCATTTTTAGTAGAGACAGGGTTTCACCGTGTTAGCCAGGATGGTCTCGATCTCCTGACCTCGTGATCTGCCTGCCTCGGCCTCCCAAAGTGCTGGGATTACAGGCATGAGCCACCATGCCTGGCCAACGGTAGCATCCATTTTAAGATTGAGTACAATTATTGTTATTTAGAATTTTGAATGAAAAAATATTTATTTATTTATTTACTTATTTTTTTGAGACGATCTCCCTCTGTCATCCAGGCTAGTGGCTAGGACTATAGACATGAGCCATCATGCCTAGCTAATTAAAACAATTTTTTTTTCAGTAGAGATGGTTTGTTGCTATGTGTGCCAGGCTGGTTGGAACTTTTGGCCTCAAGCTAATCCTCCGGCCTTGGCCTCCCAAAGTGCTGGGATTACAGGTGCGAGCCAATGTGCTCAACTGAAAAAAACCTTAGTTTTAAAAACTGTCTGCTTCTCTTGAAATTTCCTGTCCCTGAAAACACAGTGATTAAGAAGGGGGTTTTGATAATGAAAATGGTCAGCAGTTCCCAAAGAAAACTTACTGAGGAGTGGCTCATGGCTGTGGATGGCAACAGTACTCTGGTTTTGCCGGGTGGCCTCTAGCTCCCCCATTTCAGAAGGACTTGGTGGAAACAACTCCGTATTCGACATCTGAAAAGACAGCCAGAGTAATAAACAGTGAGGTTCCTACTAGAATAAGGATAAATACTCTATTTATTTATTTATTTATTTTTACTTTTTATTTTTTTTGAGATGGAGACTCGCTGTGTCACCCAGGCTGGAGTGCAGTGGCATGATCTCGGCTCATTGCAACGTCTACCTCCCGAGTTCAAGCGATTCTCCTGCCTCAGCCTCCTGACTAGCTGGGATTACAGGCGTGTGTCACCACGCCTGGCTAATTTGGCTAATTTTTTGTATTTTTAGTAGAGACGGGGTTTCACCATGTTAGCCAGGATCTCCTGACCTCGTGATCTGCCCACCTTGGCCTCCCAAAGTGCTGGGATTACAGGTGTGAGCCACTGTGCCAGGCCAAGACAAATACTTTTTAGCAATTATCAGACATGGGCCAGCCGCCAGTGCCACAACTACTACCATCAGTATGGAAGCTTGCTTTTCCCAAGTACCATGTGCCAAGCTCTCCACCTGCACCGTCTCATCTCACTTCTCAGATACTGCGAGGCAGCTATATTACACATCATCAATCTGAGGCCTAACACGGGCATCTTGCCCAAGGTGCTGAAGCCATGATTCTAACTAAAATCTACCTGACTCCAAAGCCTGTGTTCTTAAGAGCCATAACTGAAGGTGCATATGTAAGGAATAGTTTTGGATGAAGAAGAAAAAGTTCACGACCACAAATGCTTCAGGTCAAACTTTATTTCTGTGTTTATAGAATGATGGCAAAACTATACCTCATATAAAACTACTATGGGAAATACTGTTTTGGAGTGGGAAACACTAAACCAAATGCTGTTACTGAAAAGTTCTTATACTGTTATATAGTTACAGGCCAAACAATCTAAAAATCCATGTAGCTCATAAAATAGGAAATCATTTGCCTATATTGTCTTATTAAGTTGACATACTTTATCTACAGAATGCCTACATAATGTACACTACTTAGACATTTTTACTACCACATAAATCTGTTTCTTGCATACTACCTCGCACAAAATGGATACCCAATAAACGTGCTAACTGTATGAGTAAATGAATAAATAATAAAGCAGAAGACATGATATTTGTGTAAAAAGACATGACATTTATATTTTCTTTTTTTGCTTTTAGAAAGTTGCAGTCTGCCAGTCAGGCTAGTACAGCGGTGTGATCATAGCTCACTTCAGCCTCAAACTTCTGGACTCAAGTGATCCTCCTGCCTCAGCCTCCTGCAGCAGCTGGGATTACAGGCATGGGCCACCATTACTGGCTAGTATTTTTAAAAATCTTTTTTAGAAAGGAGGTCTCACTGTATTGCCCAGGCTGGTCTTGAACTCCTGGCCTCAAGTGATCTCAAGTGATTCCAGCTACTCAGCCTCCTGAGTAGCTGGAATTATAGGCACAGCCACCATGCCTGGCTCTGATATTTGTATTTTTAAGTTTCTGTTTGTCCCTGGTCAGATAAAATTTCTCTTTTCTCCTGTAGTCTTACACTGCTTGATTTACATATCTGCTTTAGAGCTTTTTGTTGTCTGTGCTAAATTAGAATTACATTGTATTTTAGTCTTCCAGATAGCACTAGGCTTAGTAATTTTTGTATATACAATAATGCATTTCAAATAGCTAGTATTTGTTCAATTGAATTAAGTAGTATGTGGTATTTATCTCGTGGCTTATATTATTTAAACTTTTTTTTTCAAACCTCAAGGAGTAGCTTTAATCTACTAAATTGGAACCTATTACAATAACAATAATAAGAGCTACCATTTATTGAGCACTTACTGTGTGTTAGGCACTGTTGTAACAGTTTTTGTTTATGTATTTAAGCTCTTAATTCTCACAATCCTCTAGGAGATCAATGATATTCTTATTCCTACTTTACGAATGAGAAAATTGAGGTATAGAGAGTTTAAGTAAAAGCCCCAGGTTACGTCCCAGTAAGTGTCACAACTGGGACTCAGATACTATGTTCACAGCAACTTCACTCTTTACTATGCAACAAAGCCACTTAAAAATCACTGAGTGACCAAAACGGGTTCTTTTTTTTTTTTTTTTTTTTTACAGAATGACTTCTTTTTTTAAAAGAAATAATCAACAAGGGGCAAATTTTATTGTTTATTTATTTCATGAACATTATCATTTACAAGTATACTTACACTCCTGCAGTTCACAGTGTTAGTATCTTTCATTAAATTTGTTGGACTCGAATCATCAAGGTATGAAGAAGACTGTAACCTTTAAAAAGTGATACATAAAACATTTTTAATTTTTACATATTTTAGAAGGAAATGTTCTCCTCTAAATACATAATAATCTACTGATGAAAATACAGTGAGGAACTTGAAACTGAGTATCATAGCAGGTTTCACAATTAGACTGACTTGCTAGGTGCCAGGCTTATTTTTGACTATGGAATGCTGAAAAACACTCCATAGTAAATAGAAAAATAAAGCTCTGAGGTAAAATCTTGAGTAAATCGTATCATCTGTCAATATAGCCTGTGTTAAAATAACAGAATAACACAGCACAGTTTAAAACAGGTGCTCATGTCAAAAATCAGCTCCTCCTCAAGATACTAAATAGCAGAACTGAGAGTAAGGAAAGATTTATTAACATTCTGGAACCTTTTTAAAGTGGAAAATGTGCCATATTTTTACTACAATAGGTCATCCTTAGGTAAAAATCAATGAAACACATACATAGAGAACAAAATGGCATAAACACAACTTCATGTCTTACATGTTCCCAAGAAGGCAGTTGACGTTGAGGTGTACAATACGACGGTTTATTGTACATATACATAGTAAAATTGCTGCAGTTAAATAAATTTACATATTCATCACCTCCCACAGTTACCTGTGTGTATGTGTATGTTGACAGCACCTAAAACCTACTCTCCTAACAAATCTTCAGTATATAACATCATGAACTATAGTTAGTTCTCATGCTGCACATTCGATCTGTAGACTTATTCATTCTATCTTAAGACCTTAAGACCTAAGACTATAAAACTATTAGGAGGAAATAGTGGAACAGCCTCATGACATTGGATTTGGCAATGATTTCTTGGTATGACATCAAAAGCACAGGCAACAAATGAAAATAAATAAATAAATTGGAGTATATAAAAACGAAAAACTTGTGTACATCAAAAAACCTGACCAACAGAGTAAAAAGGCAACCTAAAGACTGAGAGAAAATATTTGCCAATCACATATCTGCTAAGTGGTTAATATCCAGAATATGTGAACAACTCCCAACTCAACAACAGCGACAAAACAAACAACTTGATTAAATAGTGGGCAAAGGACTTGAATGCACACTTCTCCAAAGAAAATATACAAATGGCCAATAAACACATGAAAAGGCAGTCAATATCACTAATCAGTAGGAAAATGATAATCATTAGCTCACTGCAGACTTGAACTCCTGGGCTCAAGTAATCCTCCCACCTCAGCCTCCCAAGTAGCTGGGACTATAGCTGTGCACCCCTATGCCTCGCTAATCTCTCTTTTTTTTTTTTTTTGAGATGGGGGTCTCGATATGTTGCCCAGGCTGGTCTTGAACTCCTAGCCTCACATGATCCTCTGCCTTGGCCTCCCAAAGTGCTGGGGATTACAAGCATGAGCTATTGCACCTGGCCTTTTATTGTGTCATTTTTTTTTTAATGTAATAAGCCAGGTAGCCAGGTGTGGTGGTGTGCGCCAGTAGTCCCAGCTGCCTGGGAGGCTGAGGCAGGAGGATTGCTTGAGCACGGGTTGTCCAGGCTGCAGTGAGCCATGATCACACCACTGTACTCCAGCCTGGGGGATAGAGCAAGACCCTGCCTCAAAAGAAAATTTAAAAAATAAAATAACTATTCTATATACTATAAAGTTTAATATAGAGAGATATGTAAAATTAAATACATAAGGTTTAACATAAAGCTTATTTTATTCTTTATACAATTCTTTATACATTAAGATAGTTTGTCTATTTTACTGTATGAAATCCACACATTTTCCAGTTTATAATTTCTCTTTTAACATTGCTATAATGATACAGTTATGTGTAAGGTTTTAATTTGTATACAATTAAATTTACCAAATATTTTTCTTCATAAATTCTGGATTTTGTGATGTTTAGAAAGGACTTTTCAAGTTGAGAATATAAAAATTCATACATGTATTCTTGAAAAACTTTAGTTTTATAGTTTTACTTTGAGCTCTGATTTATCTGGAATTTATTTTAGTGTAAAGAATAAAGTTGGAGTCTAGCTTTATTTTTTCCCCAAATGGTTACACGGTTATCATAATGCCCTTTAATGTTTAATTCATTTCTACCTACTGATTTAAGATGTCATTTTTAATTTTTATCATATAATAAATGTCCATGTGCATTTGATGATGTTTCTGAAATATAATACTTTACACTGATCTATTTGTGGCTCACACCAAAATGTTTCAGTGGTCGTAGCTTTATAACGTATTTTAATATCTGATAGCATTAGTCTCACTTTATTACTTTCTTATTTTTCATAAATTTCTAGATATTTTAATGTGATTAGTATAATCTGTTGGATTCCAAAAAAAAAATGCATGGTGGTTTTTTTTTTTTTTTTGAGACAGAGTCTTGCTCTTTTGCCTAGACTGGAGTACAGTAGTAGGATCACAGCTGACTACAGCCTTGACGCTGCCCCACGAGCCCCTCTCCCTCCACGCCACTCCAGTGATCCTCCCACCTTAGCCTCCCAAGTAGCTGGGACTACAGGTGTGCACCACCATATCCAGCTAATTTTTTTTTTTTTTTTTTTTTTTGTAGAGATGGGGTTTTGCCATGTTGCCCAGGCTGGTCTCAAACTCCTGGACTCAAGCAATCTACCTGCCTTGGCCTCCCACAGTACTAGGATTACAGGCATGAGCCACCATGCCCGGCTACACGGTGGTTATTTTGACTAGATCCACATTATATTCACAGTTTAGTTTAAGGAACAGGACATTCTTACAATTCTGTCTTCCTGTTGAAAAACAGCTTCTATCTGAAGTTATTTGAGTTATCTTTTACGTACCTTTGCGAATTTTAAAGTTTTTTTTCATGTTGGTATAAACATTTCTTATAAAATTTATATCTTTTTTGTTGCTACTGTAAAGATAATATTTTCCATTATATTAAACCAGTTATCATTTGTATATAGGAAGACTACTGATTTTTGTATATTGGTTTTATAAATACGACATTTTTACTTTTGAAAATATTTGCAGCAATAAAACATTACCTCTGTAAATCCAGAATTTCATTTGCAATATCTGTTCCAATACTACCAGCACCAAGTACTGTTCCAGCAGACATTCCAGGTACACTCATACAAGACTGTCGAGAGGATTCTAAGTAACAGCAAAAGGAGAAATTCAATTAAGGACTTTATCTTTCTTTCAATTCAAATAATTTCACAGTTCTCTCCTTAAAAGAAACAGACTAGCTGCATCCAAAAATGTTAGAAAACACTCATCGTTGCATTACAAATGTAATTCATGATGCTCTTTGAATCAAATGTGTAGAAAGTCACTGAGGGCACAATCGTGACTTGTAACCCTTGAGTCCAGTCTCTTCCCACTTTAACTTCCACAGCAATACTACTTCAATGTTACCTAAGATTTTTATTTTTACAAATAATACATTAATATATTCCTGTGGTGAAAAACTAACACAGATAAGCAAAAACTCCCCCTAATACTTTTCATTAATTTGTCCAATTGACAAGGAACAATGTTAGCTGTTAGGGCTGAATAATGGATAAAACATCATTCCTGCTCTTAAAGAACTCAGTCTACTGGAAAGCACGTAGAACGAACAACTAACTGCAGTACAATGCAAGATTATAACAGAAATGTGAGCAAAGCACTGTGGAAATTTTGAGGGGGATATGGTGATACCTTTGGGGGTTTAAATGGGATATCAGTTGATGGCTGCAGCACACCAACATGGCACAAGTATACATATGTAACAAACCTGCACGTTATGCACATGTACCCTAGAACTCAAAGTATAATAATTAAAAAAAAAAAAAAAAAAAAAAAAAAAAAAAAATGGGATATCTGTTTCTCGTTGAACTTAGTCTCTTCTAAACCAAAGTTGGGATTCCTATAACCCAACCTGTAGAACTCCTTTTAATTTCACCTTCAAATTTTCCCCTCTCCAGGCCAGAAAAAGACAATAATAGTCTTAATAATATGTTTTAGTAATAAGTCTTCCATCATCTGAAACTAAGCTTACCTTCTGATGATTGAGAGCTACAAGGAAAAGATGATGCTTCTCCAGGCTCACTATGTCCCCTAGAATTAAAAACACCATAGATGATTTGTTTTCTAAGGTGAAGGAAACTGTTATAGCAACTACACCAAGCTCTGTATATTTAATTTGTCAATTTGTGGCCCATTTATGTTTTATATACACATATTGTTAGTATCACCACCAGAAATCAAGGTCTATTAAGACATTAGTGCTAAGTATCACGGCATTTGCCAAATGCCCCATTCCCCTATAAAGTACGTGTTCTCGCAATAACAAACTCTTAGTTCATGTACTAATAATAAGTAGGCAAAGATTACTGGGATGGGTGACAGGAAAATACTGGAGGTATTAAACTTTTTTAAAAATTATTTTTCACTCAGTATTGTAGATAAGGAAACAACTGGTTCAAGGAAACCTTACAGCAATTTCAAAGAGAAACTTACAGAAATAAAGTAAGAGTTAGAATGGGGCCATCCTAGTCTACTATAAAATCGGGAGAACTTGTCTCTTCCTTCAGGCTGACACAGCGACAGACCAGGGCCTGCTAAAGCAACACCTGGGCTGGATTTCTGTTCTCCCCCATGCTGGGCATGCCTGCATAGACATGGTGGCACCCCAGGCTTACAAGATGTGCACGTAAAACTGACAGGGAGGACAAAACAATTTCTTACAATAATGCACAGTTGAAATCCATGTCTGCATTGTTTACTGAATGGCCATGGAAGGTAGGAAGAAAATGGTTGAATAAATGCCTTTACCCTCACTTATTATATCAAGTAAGAAGGAATATATTACAAAAATGAAAACTTTTAGCTTAATTCTGAGAACTAATGTCACCGAACAGTAAATGACTTACTCAAAAGATAAATCTCAAGTTATACTAAAAGGCCAGAGGATCATAGGGTTTAATGGTTTAGCAAGATGAGAGGAAAAAAGCAAAGAGACTCATTTGAAATCAATATAAAGGTCTTAACATAAAAATTTACTTACAAAACTAAAGTGTTGACAGATACAATATATTCCAGTTCTTTCGTCCAAGGATTTGTGAAACTAAACCATTGGCTTTTTAAAGTTACGAAAGAGCCATCTTTTGCTCTGAATTTGTAGGAATCTGTAAGTATTTTCTCCTTACTCTGTAGAACTTAATGAGAAAAGATAATTATCAGCATAACAGTCTACCACTACAAAAATCAACATTATGAGGAATAATTCAAACTTCCAATTTCACAGGAATGGGAAATTAAGAGTTAAAGCTGTCATTTTGAATTCCCCAAAATGTCCTCTGCTCAATGCATACCTACCTGCTTTGTGCTTGTCAGTCAAATTACTATGGTCATCTTGATGAAAATATTCATAACAAGAAGTTCCCAAAAGTTCCTGAGGCAGATATCCTAAAATTGCTGTTGCCCTGGTTTTAAAATTGAAAATAAACTTCAGAAGTGGTGAGTGTACTCCCTCCCAGAAGACTGTAGGCGCACATATGGTCAGGATAGTAAAGAAGTGCACAGGGTAGGAGATGAGTGACCAGGCACATCGCGGGGCTCCTGTTGGCTGCCCTAGAGCCAGACTAGAGCCGCAACACAGAACAGACACCCAGGCATGAGGCCTCCACCCAATCCAGGCTGTGCTCTTACTAGCTTTTGTCAGTAAAATCGTGGGCACAGATCATGCCCAGTTTCTGCACCACTGGCTAAGAGACATTCTTTCGAGTTTACATGTTGGCTTAAACAAATTTACTGATATGTCCATATCCTTATTTCATTTAAACTTTATTTTCTGTTCTGAAACAGCAAAAAAAAAAAAAAAAAAAAAAATTCTAGCAGTGCTACTAAGACACGTCTTTAATAGCTTCAAATATCCTATTGAATTCTAATCATTATAACATGTAAATGTTTACCTTTGATCTACATAGACAAATTTTCCATTCATTGCAAACCGGGTTATAAATTCAGTCGGTTTCACATGAATCTCTCCACTGTTCTGTGGAATAATATATGGCTGTAATCTTCCAATGGCCACAAGGCAGGTAAAATTACTGTTGTCTTTCTTACTGTTCCTTTCTTCTTCCATTCCAACAATATTTGGAGGCCAGCTTCTCAAGTAACCAGTGCAGTGGATAGTATAGAATTTTCTATGCTCTAATTCAAAGATTTTTCAAAAGGACATTTAGATCATTATAAATAAATCATTAAATTTCTTATATTGACATCTACAATAGTTATAATTGTGCTATAAAATGCTCTTTAAATATGCTAAAATATGAAAGGGGAATGGTATTCCATTGAAAAGATATCAATTTTGATTATTTCATGACTTTATTATTAATAGGTTATTTTCCTCAGGAACTAAATTGTATGTACTACATGAAAAAGCAAACAGGTTGCTTTATTTTAGTATTAACTAGGTCTATGACTTAATATATTTCCAAGTCAATTTTTTAAATTACAGTAATTTACATCTGTTGGAAAAATTAATCCTCATGCCCCCTTGCAAGACTGTTTTCAGCTTATTACGTTTTTTGGTATATTGTAACTTATATTCGAAAGTTTAAAAAGACATTTAAGTCATTATGTATGCATTCTTAAATTTCTTATGTTAGTGCTTATAATGGTTAATAGATATATAAGGTTATAATAGATTATAGAAACATTTTAAAGAACACTTGGAGAAATTTATAATGAAAAGTATAAAAATAAAATAAATTTCACTTTTTAGGAAAATCCCAAGCAATTAACTCATAGGAAGAAGCTTGTCAAGCATGTCCACCAAAATAATTAAAAATTGGAAATAATCTATATGCTCAAATATCATGTTTAAGCAAACAATAAATCCAATACTGGCATAAACGATGAGTAGGATACAGATTACGGCATGCCACAAAAGTGATTTAAAGGTTAAAAAGTAGGGGAAAAGCCTGATAAAAAATTATTTGAAACAGCTGTTTTTATGGTACGCTTTAGAAAAGATTAGAACAATCAACGTTTTAAATTGGCACTATTTGGTAAAACTTCCACTACAATAAATCCTTTACATTTGTGTTTAAATAGAAGACGATATGAACTGTCATATAAGATAGTAGTTAACAATAATAGCAAAGATTTAGAGACCACTTTATGTGTCACAGTCTAAGTGCGTTAAACGTACAACTCATTTAATCTTAATAGTTCTGTGGGATGTTCTAGCATCTCCATTGTCTTTGGAAACTGAGTTAATGGCAAGGTCACAGCAGGTACAGGATGGAGCTGGGGTTAAAACTCAGGCTGGTTCCAGAGCCCACTTTCTAAACCACTAACGCCACACCATTTGCTGATAGTGAGTGCTCTGTCACCAAAGATGTTCAAATAGGAGTTGCCTGGGTGACAGAAGGGGAGGGGTACAAAGGTGTTCCAGTCAGAGGGAATGACCAGTGAGAACTGAGAGCGAGCGGTCAGATGCGGCTGAAGCATACGCTGCAGTGGGAAAGACTGGAAAATAAAGCAGGGAACAGAGGGCAGGCTGTAAGCCGCGCATAAAACCTTGTATCCAACATCTAACAAACAGCACTCCCTTCCCAGGCCACAGATGCCCTAAATTACAAAACTCCTTATCTCTTCCAACCCAAACCCAGTGTTTATCACCTATTCCCTACCCTGTTTACTGGTGCCACGATCAACCTAGGCAGTTCAAAGAGAAATCTGGGGGTCATCTTAGGCTCTACCTTCTCCTAACAACCCAGATACCTCAAAGGAATTAAAATTGAGTAAGTATGAATAAAGGTTTTCATTCATATTAACAAAACCAGATGGCAGTTAAAAATAAAAGGGCTTATACATCAGGTTTGGCATTCCTGCAAACTTATAAATGATACTGACTAAAAATATTCCACTCTACTGAAAATAGAGACTTCAGAAAGTATATTTTTTATTTATATATATAATCTCATCACACAGAACCTAGCTTGTTGCATTTATTTCTCTCTTACAACAGGTTATTAACTATATTTCCAAATCTAACTGTCCCTCAGTTCTCACTGTGAACATTTATTCAGTTGGCAATTTTCTAGTTGGGATTGTGTAATTCTATCAACTGCAATTCATTGGATCAGCTATCTAATTTTTTTTTTAATCCCATTTAATCCATTTCCTGTTGAGAAAAGAAAAAATACAGCTCGCTACCAGTGCAGTATTCTCAGGACAAATGGGAAATGGGTTAAAAATTCTTATCCCAATACTTCTTTAGCTCTTTATCTAAACATTGGAGTCATGAGGCCCGATCCTTGCCAAACTATTTACTTACATCGACTCCACAGGCTAGATTCAAGTGTCATCTACTCCATGATTTCCCAAAAGTGTGTAGGGGTGAGGGAAGGGAGAAAAAGCCTGTATTACCCTAAACACTGCCTTAATTTACAGGACATCCTTTCAAAATCCTTTATGAAATATTTCCTGAACACGTTGCAGGCTAGGTCTCTCAACTTGGTGTCTTGCTGTCTTCACTTACACTCTTGAGGAAGCAGATCCAAAACAAGGATTCAAATACAAGAAGTTAATTTGAGGGGTGGTCCCAGGAAACACTGGCAGGGAACTGGGAAGTGAGACAGGGAAGAGAAGGAAGCTAACAAAGTACCTGAAACGTGCAAATTCCTGGAGCCACAGGCAGAACTGGCTCCAAAGACCAGAGGAAGAGGTCAGGCAGAGTCCTGGCGTTGGACACTGGAGGCCAGTGGCACACCCTGTCTGCAGTGGTGGGTGCTGGGGGGATACGCCACGGGGCACTGACAGAGAGCATCTGCCATACGTGCACAAGAAACAAGCGGATTCTGGGTGTACTGTTGTACTTCTTCCTCATGCACAATTATCTCACGAAGATAAATTTAAGAAACACTTAAGACGCTTGGTGGCAGTCATCCGTCCTTCATCAGCCTGCAATTTCACAAGTTCAGATACCCAAGTAATTGTCTCTCTACCTTAGAAGCTTTTTCAAAGTTTGAATCCATGACATGAAGGTTTGATTCAGGATATAAATAATTTTTTTAAATGTCGTTATTTTAAAAAAATCTTTTATTATGTAAAATCTCAAACATAATGCAAAATCAGAAATAAACTTGGGTAACTCATCTTGAGAAATCCTGAGAAATGACCTTTCCATAAATCTTAAATTCAACTTTCAATTAAAATAAAAAGGGCTGCTCTCTAGTCTTCCTCTAAGTTTAAATGTTACTGACATGTCATGGTAAAAGGGAAGAAAAACACGTTTACTAACCACAGGCTTTCATCATTAATAATGAGGGGTCTTAAAACACAGTGAATTGGCCGGGCACGGTGGCTCATGCCTATAATCCCAGCATTTTGGGAGACTGAGGTGGGCGGATCACAAGGTCAGGAGATCAAGACTATCCTGGCTAAAATAGCGAAATCCCGTCTCTACCAAAAATACAAAAAATTAGACAGGTGTGATGTCACGTGCCTGTAATCCCAGCCACTTGGGAGGCTGAGGCAGGAGAATCGCTTGAACCCATGAGGCGGAGGTTGCAATGAGCTGAGATCAAGCCACTGCACTCTAGCCTGGGCGACAGAGCAAGACTCCATCTCAATACATACATACATACATACATCAATACATACATACATAAAACCACAGTGAATTCCACTGGTTAATTACTATTCGAAAGAGTAATTTCAAAGCGATCATATGCAACATGTAATGTCACTTGACAGACACTCTCCTTGGTTAAAGCAGAAGACAAAATGACCCTCACCGAGGTCATCCAGGTGGCAAGCAGGGTTTACATTCTGCAGTTAACCTTATCCTGGACCAGCAGTCTATAGGCAGTTCTCAAACCAGGTCCTGCAAGGACTGATTTCTGACACGTTCCCTTACCACTGCTTAGGCCTGTGCCTTTGGTACAGAACTCTGTTAAGTGAATACTTGGTTCCAGGGCTTGAGCAGATTCAAAACTCCTTTTTGAAAAGATATTTGCCTCTGCGTGCAGGCATCTGTGTGGCCCAGCCTGGCATGGGAGTGAACACCCTTGTGTGGGCAGGAACACATTCCTATAGCAGGCGCCCACTCCCTCACTGTGTGTCTGCTGCGAAAATCATCCAGACTCTCTTTCACTAAAACCTTTTGGCACCTAGGAAGCTAATGTAGTAGGTGGCATGGCATAGAGGAAAGAATACAGATTTTAAAGCCAGATTGCTGACTCTGTCACTCTCTATGTGACTTTAGAAAAATTACACAACCTTCTAAAAGTGCAGTTTCCTCGTCTGCAAGACAGGGATGCTCTGCACAGAACTGTTAGGGAGATTAAACTGGGGAATTATGCAACGTGCTTGGCATATAGTAGAATCTTAATAATTATTCACTCACTCCTTTCTCTCTTTCATTTTCTCTTCTCTTCTTTCTGAGCTGCAAATAGCTACTATTTATTGAGTGCTTCCTAGGAGCCGAGCACTGCATGAGCCACAGGTAATCCCAACCACACTCTCAGGAGATGCTGTTATGACCCACTGTATTAGTCTGTTCAGGCTGTCATAACAAAATTCCAGACTGGGTGGCTTAAATAACAGAAATGTTGTATAGGGGTCTACCCTTATAACCTTATTAACCTTAATTACATGTTTAAAGGCTCTAACTACGGATACAGTCACACTGAGGCCTACAGCTTCAACATACAAACTTTGGGGGAAAACAATTCACCCCGTCCCACCCATTTTCCATATATTAGGAGAAACTTGCCTAAGGTCACACAATTGTTAAGCAGCAGACCTGACACTAAAACCCTACTGAATTCAGAGCCCAGGCCCTTCTACTCTGTCCTACAGCACGGCTGTCGGGAGGCAGAGTCTAGTGGGAGAACCTGGAACATCAGAGCGACTCAAAAATTTATTTGTTCCTTTAGTTCCTCACAGAATTCAACTACGAATTAACTCTAATTGACCATTTGCCAGATAGTCTTGAAATATCTATATTTTCCCAGTAAGATTATCATGTATTTCAAAGGAAAGAAATCATTCCTACTTCTTCTATAAATCTGTAAAACTTGCAATAAAAAAATCCTTTTAGGAACCCCATGGAAGGACTAAAATTTGATTAGCACATTCTCAAGAATGCTGCTTGGTTGGTTTTTTTTCTTAAATGTATGACTATACACATGCATTTTTGTTTGAAAATTGAATATTTAAAAGACCTCTTCAAAATACTATAGCAGGGCTATAGAGTTCTACAGAGGACATCCCACTTTCCTTCTTGTATCTTTGCAAAGGGTTAAAAGACTGCAGATTATCAGACGTCCAAGACTATCATCAGTGACTGACTTGAGCTCCCATATCCAGGAAAATCCTCCAAGAATGTATATATTCGGTCATGTGTTGTCTAGAATTTCACAAAACAATGAGAGGAAGAATTGAAGGCAACAGAAAGGAGGAGAAGCCCAGACAAGGTGGAGTCCTGCTATTGCTTTGTGACTTCTAGTTCCATATTTGAAGCCAAATTTTAAAATGCCAATTTAATTAACAGACATTTATTTTCAGCAAGGCCCAGATGCCTTTAGTTCTCAGGGCAGAGCCTTTTCAGATTTCTTTCTCATGAGAACTATGGTATAGAAAATGATCCAAGCTGTTTGTAGTCTGAGGTTGGGCTGCCATAGCAAAATAGCAGATGTGGTAGCTTCAACACCAGGAACTTATTTTCTCTCAGTTCTGGAGGCTGGAAGTCTGAGATGGAGGTGTCAGCAGGGCTGCGTTCTGGTGAGGGCTGTCTTTCTGGCTTGCAGATACCCAATAACTTGCTGTGTGCTCACATGGCCTTCCCTTGCTCACTGCATTCATGCAGAGACAAAGGGCTCTCTGGTGCCTCTCCTTACAAGAACACTAATCCCACGATGAGGGCCCCACCCTCATGACCTCATCCAAACCTAATTATCTCCCAAAGGCCCAATCTCCAAATACCATCATGCCAGGAATTAAGGCTTCAACATAGGAATTCTGGGGACACAATTCAGTCCATAGCATTTGCTAAAAACTTCTTGAGACAAAATCTAAAAAATACGTTGAAATTGCTTCCTTAGGTAAAAAAGAAAGATTTTAATGTATATTCATTCATTTAATGTATAATTGTTCCTGTGGATTTGAGAGTGGTTATGTGGTCAGTCAGGTAGGAACAAAGGACAAGAGGATCGTCACTTATGCCTTCAGGAAATGTTTATTGAATGTCTATCATGGGCCAGAAACAACAGACGGAAATGCAGCTCTCATTCCAGTGAGGGAGGAAAGTATCAAAAAGTTAAGTAATTTCAATACAGTGTAGAAGAGCAGCAAATCTGAGAGAAGCTCAGGATTACTGATGTGGGTACCTGGGACGCAAGCCACCAGAGTTGGGAGGGTATTGGGGATCGTTTCCTGGAAAGAGGAGATGCCTGAGTTTTAATGTCCAGGGTCTGCAGACAGACTTGTGTGTTGTAGTCAGGCATGGTGGCTCACACCTGAAATCCTAGCCTTTTGGGAGGCTGAAGTGGGAGGAATGCTTGAGGCCAGGAGTTTGAGACCAACCAGAGCAATATAGCAAGATCCCATCTCTATAAAAAATGTTAAACTTAGACAGATGAGGTGATACATATCTGTAGTCTTAGCTACTTGGGAGGCTGAGTTGGGAAGACCATTTGAGCCCAGGAGTTTAAGGCTGCAGTGAGCTATGACTGTACCACTGCACAAGTGTGTTGTGTCTGTAATTGATACAAAGTGGATAGCAACAAAAAACTGAGAAAATCATCTTTCAGTATTCAAAAACTAATATTAATTCAGCAAAGATGTCATTCGCATCACACTTTCCACTACCTACTTATTAGTTTACATGTTTCTTGGCTGTCTGTAGCATATGAGGGCCATCTCACATGAGGTCCACTACAGCAGTACTTGTCTGCCTGTTCCCTAGTGTGTTCTTTGCATTTGGCATAGTAGCATATAGTAGGCACTCAATAAACTGTTCATTCACCAACATCTATTGTTGTCAGACAATGATCTCAGGTTTATCCCAATCATTTTCCCCTCAGCACAGCCAATGTGCAGGGGTCTTTTTAGAAATAAGACTGTGAAAGAAGCTAGGAGAAAATACAACTTGGGGAGGAATCTTTAGTCCCATTACTGGGTATACACCCAAAGGAAAATAGATCATTCTACCGAAAAGACATATGCACTTGTATGTTCACTGCAGCACTGTTCACAATAGCAAAGACATGAAATCTGCCTAGGTGCCCATCCATGGTGGATTAAAGAAAAGTGGGCTACATATAAAGCAAGGAATACTACACAGCCATAAAAAAGAATGAAATCATGTCCTTTGCAGCAATGTGGATACAGCTGGAGGCTATAATCCTAAGTGAATTAATGCAAGAACAGAAAACCAAACACCACACATCCTCACTTATAAGTAGGAGCTAAACATTGAGCATATAAGGACATAAACATGGGAACAACAGACACTGTGAACTATTAGAGGGGAAGGGAGGGAAGGGCGTGTGGGTTGAAAAACCATCTCCTGGGTACTATGCTCACTACCTTAGTGCAATATACCCATGCAACAAGCCTGCACATGTAGTCCCTGTATCTAAAATAAATGTTGAAAATTTTTTTTAAAAAGAAGAGTATTTTCATGAGGACTAAAACACTTAGCACAGTATCTGGCGCAGGGTAAGTGTTAAATAAATTAGTATCAGCAATTATCATTTTAGGTGTTTGTCAAAAAATATTCTGACCAAAACTTGTAAATAAATTGAATTTTGTGGCTCCATATATCCTTTTTAAGGATAGGAAAGCAAATCCCATGTTGAAATTTGCCTACGAAATCCTATATCTAAGAGCTTAATATGCTCTTAGGCAAAAAAGTCATGAGACATTTTGTAGTCCCTGAAATTTCCCAATTAAGTTAAATAGATGACTATTTAATCAATTTACAAAAAGTAAATATCTGCAAGACAAATCTAGCAAAGGATCATAAGAAAACAAATGAGATATTTACCAATGAATCAACATCTCATAAAAAATTAAAATCACACCTAGAACATCTTAAGAAACTTTCACCAAAATTAGTCAGATCAGGCTCTTGTACTATTGACTTTTTTATTTTAACATCTAACTTTTGTATTTTAAAGAGTAATAATGAAGTTTCATAGCAAAAGTTTTATTTCTATCTCTTGTGATTTTTTCCCATTTGATAGGCCCCAAACTACAATTTCAATAATACAATTAAAATCTTGGGTAACAAAGACAATATGTAATTACTTGATAAATTCGAAAGATATGATGAACCAATCTAAGTAATTTTGGTTTAAAAAATATCTTATTTTTAAGATGCTTTTGGATTCAAATATTTCCCTTGACCATATATTTTATTTTTTTCTGTACAGAAAATATTTAGGACATTCATTTTATATCCACGCTTTGCATCACTTGACATTTCAAAATGATACCTTTCTTCTTTGGGTTGGGTAAGCATTCATGCTCTTCTTTGACAGAGATTTTACAACTCTTTATCCGACAGAAAAAAGATCGTCTTGAGCCAGAATAAACATGTGTCCTTCCAGTGTGGAAATTACTGTGAACTTGCAAACCAGCTTTTGTAGCAGAAGGGGGTGAGAGAACAGGTGGAAAAGAATATTGTCAAATAATTTTGAAATTTATCTTCCAACATTTTCTGATCATCTATTATTGAGAAAGGAAATAGTTTTTTAAAGCAATGGCATGATTGTACAGTAAACCCTAAAGTGAAACACACCCAAAAAATGTATTTGTCAAGCAATCACATTTTGATAACTTATAGACATTTGCAATTTATCTTTCTTTTTTCCCCAAATGGGGAAGAACAAAGTTAATTTAAGTGAAATGAAATAAAAATTAAATTAAAAAATGAAAAAATCTTCAACTATTACAGGAATCAATTGTTTTATATTTCACATAATTATTTGGTACTAGGCATTTTCAGAGAAGAAAAACTACTTACACTTCCCAAACGCAATTATACAAGGTCTTTCATACAGAAAAGACCTAATCCATATACAAAAGAGGATAATTGTCTTTTAGCATGTAGCTCAATAATGGGAACTTCAGCAATTTTTTATCCAAAATGACACTTTCTTGTAAAGATTTTATTTGTATATGAAAAATAGCAAATATGAAGGAATCATATTTTCCCCAAACAAAGCATCTTCATATGAATGCATTTGTGTTTGTATATGTCTGTATGAATATAGGAATTTTCTATATAGCTATATATATTAACTATGATGTAAAGTTTACAAAATAATTCTCGTTTGATAAAAGCTTAGTTAGCTGTATTAAAAATACCATGTAGCTAAACTTTTAGGTGATCATTACATTTACATAAAATAATAAGCATGCAGAAATGGACACTTACTTTTGGCATCTATTAGCTTTTCTCTTGGTGAAATATCAAAAGAAGAAAGTTGTTCCTTTACTTTGGCAACATCTTTTGGATGCAAGAAGTCAAATAAGCTTTGTCCAGTCAAACTAGCCTATTCATAAGGTAGACATTCACTTAAAATCAGTACCATGCTTTTTCTACATTTCTTGATGCATACAATAAATGTCCTTTTTTGTTAAAGGTTGATTTTTCTCAAGCTCAAAGATACGTTCACGACACTATGTGACATGAGCTTAGTGTTCAAAGCAGGGTGATACTTGTAGACAGAAAAAAATACATGCATATAGAACCATCCCTGGATATACACAAACCATATACAAACACTAATTGCTAGTATTCCGCTGATTGCTAGTATTAACATGATACTTGGAAATGATTGTGATTTGTTTTGAACTTTTTTGTCCTTGTTAAAAAAAAGAGATTACATGATAGTATAATACAGAAATCACAGAATATCTGTGACTTTATCAGACATTTACCATACTGTTTAAAAAATTACCATACTATTGATAAGTAAAATCCAACCCAGAATACCTCTCACTTCCCATTCCACCACTCCCAATATGCACAGCATCCCCAGGTCTATGCCTTTGCTGATACAGTCCCATTCCTCAGAACTCACCACCCCTTCCCTATCCCTTGGCCACTCCAGCCAAATTGCCTTTGACTCCCTAGACTTCGGGACTCCCTTCTTTCTCCCAGCCTGAAATGTTTCCTCCCCTTCTCTACATCTCGCTTCTACCAAGCCTCGCAGACATCCTACTTCATGTGTGATGCCTTCCCTGACCCATAGTGGCCACCCCTCTTCTGAATTCCTGTATTACCCAAGCAAACATTCCTACAGACAACAGGACTAATGGACCAGCCAATACAAGTAGGCTGAATTGTTTGGCAGTTAGACATTTCATTCTAAAAAAAACCTGCGTGGTTAATATAAGTCTATATCCAGAACTCTCTAAGGCGGATCAAGTTTCTGAATCTGAAAAGCAGAGGACTAAACCCTGAATCATGGGAATCCCTACATGCCCCTGAGCAGCCAGTGAGTCTCTAAAGAGCCTCTTCTTTGCAAAGTCAGTGCCCAGTAGGACTGGATTCCACGTCACTAACTTGAAACTTAAGTGATACCCTAAACTGTCAGTCACCTGTGTGTGTGGGTGTGTGTGTGTGCATGTGTGGGTGTGTTTTCCATCTCCAATTAGAATATGGAATCATGAGGTTTGAATACCTGATCGTAATTAAGTATTTTGGAGACTGACTTAGAAACGAAGAGAATTTTTCCTCTTTCACATCCAACCACAAATAAGAAGCCTTCTGCAGTCTAGGATTTAAGAAAATAAAAGTGAATATTTAAAAATATTGTCTGTCTCTTATACACATACACACATTCAGATTCTGAGGGAGTTATTGTGGCACTAAAACTAACAGACTAGTTTTATTGAGCTAGTTTTCATGGAGCTAGTAAGATTAATTTTAAGAAATGTTCTTAAGATGCAAACCGATTTATAAAGAACGTCATGTTGAAATCTTATTCTAAATTAATGTTTTGGACATGAAAAGTTTGGCTGCAGAATATTTACTTGAGACATTTCTTAAAAAATTAAGCCAGGTGCTATAGATGAGCCTATATACAGCACTAAATGAGCCTATATCCTAGCACTTTGGGAGGCCGAGGCAGGCGGATCTCTTGAGCTCATGAGTTTGAGACCAGCCCGGGCAACACTGGCGAAACCCTGTCTCGACAAAAACTAGAAAAATTGGCCGGGCGTGGTGGTGCACGCCTGTAGTCCCAGCTACTCAGGAGGCTGAGATGGGAGGATGGCTTGAGCCCAGGAGGCAGAGGATGCAGTGAGCTGAGATTGCACCACTGCATTCCAGGCTAGGCAACAGAGCCAGACCTTGTCTCAAAAAATAATAATAAAATAAAATTACCTTTACCAAATCCTACTATACTGCATGCAGAACGATTACCTGTGGATATGTTGAGGTAGGAGGACTGTGCAGATTGGGGACAAGGAAGCAACGAAGACATTGAACTGTACACCTAGTTATAGTTTTTGAATAATAATAAGGCATCACTCATTCTAAACTAATGTGTCAGCTACTCTCGTAAGGTCTACCCAGCAAATCCCATGAAGCAGCCTGCATGGAAGTGGGAACATATGGCCACATAGGAAGAGCCTGGCACTCCTGCTGGGCATGCTCTGCAGGGCAGAAGCAGGGTTCCATGAAGGTGTGACTGACGAGCATGTACAGATTGGTCAGAAAGCTTCGAAAGCAAACCGTACATTTTGCCACCTTCAAAAAATTTTTTATCCACACAATATCCTTTATATCCCTGCCAGGAATGCTATATTTAAATTCAGCTGTTTAAATAAAAGAGTGGCTTTTTTTAATTAAAGGAAAAATGGACAAAAATGTGTATGAAGAATCTTTCTATTTAATTCAACTATCGCTTAAAACCTAGTAGTCACACAGACATTTATCACCTCCGAGGGCATGAGAAGCCAATCACATGATCACAGTTTCCCCTCTAGACCGTTGAATCTGAAAAGCCATGCACAGGAAATGATGAGGACAGAAATGTCAAAGCACTAACAACTCTAAGCAATGACTGGCCTCCGAGAAGAACAGGATCCTGAGGGAACAGGATGTCAGCCAGACGGCTTTGAAGGAGGTGGTGATCATGGCGAATAGATCCTATGTGTGAGAGATGGGTAGTATAACATGCTCAGTGCTGAAGACAAGCTTTGCTCTGTAGTGTAGAAAGTGCCTATCCTCTGTCTCTACTTTCATTAACACAAACTAGTAACACATGGCTACTTCTCTATTTTAAATTTCTATATTAAAGGAAATATGGTGTAACATGGAGTCTTGCATGTTTATCACAGGAAGCAAATGGAAGAAAATCTGCCTCGTATTCAAACAGCAATGAAAGCACATATACAACTTAGACAAATATATCTTCAGTTACCTTAAGGATTAAATGTCTGAGCTCATTATCCTGAATAAATGATGGTCTACAATTATTTCCCACATAAGAATTTGTCATGCCTAAAAAGAAAGGAGTCAAGAGTTATTGGAAATATAGTAGAGAGGGCAACACGCTCAATGAACATTAGCAATGCCGCTGCTGCTGCTGCTGCTATTTTCTCTTTTGGCACATTCTAAGACATTTTCTGTCATCATTTTCTTTTTTTCTCATTTTCATTTAATTAATTTATTTTTGAGACAGAGTCTTACTCTGTTGCCCAGGCTGAAGTGCGGTGGCACCATCACAGCTCACTGTAACCTCCACCTCCTGAGTTCAAGTGATTCTCGTGCCTCAGCCTCCTGAGTAGCTGGGATTACAGGCATGCAAAACCACGCCCGGCTAATTTTTGTATTTTTATTAGAGCCAAATTTTCACTATGTTGGCCAGGCTGGTCTTGAACTCCTGGCCTCAAGCAATCCACTCACCTCAGCCTCCCAAAGTGCTGGGATTACAGGTGTGAGCCACTATGCTCAGCTAATCATTTTCTTTCTTCATTATCACTTGATTAAAATTGCTTTCTTTTAGATTGTGAATTCTTGGAACTACTTATTCCTTTATATTCAAATATGCACATTAAGAGCTATATATAAAAACATTGTAATAAACTGTACATGAAATAATATTCAAGAATTGACATGCAGTAGTCCCCCCTTAGCTGTGGTTTCAGTTACCTGTGGTCCACCGTGGTCTGCAAACAGGTGAGCACAATACAATAAGATATTTTGAGCGAGCCAAAGAGAGAACATACAACTTTTTTACAGCATATTGCTAAAGTTGTCCTAGTTTATTATTAATGTTAACCTCTTACTGTGCCTGATTTATAAGTTAAACTATATCATAGGTATATATGCATAGGAAAAAAAGTGCTATGCCTAGGGTTCAGTACCACCCACAGTTTCAGGCATCTACCGGGCTCTTGGAACGTATGCTCCATGGATAAGGGGGAACTACTACAGTTATTTAGATATTGTCTCAGCTAATTAAAGTTGATCATATGAGTTACCCTGAAAGGGGATATTCTGGAATTCTAAACAAGTGTTATGGATTCATGAGATTTTCCAGTAAGAAAACCCTCTAATGGCAATATAGAGACCTCTATTCTGATAATACACAGATTATTTCTAAAATGTATAAAATATAAATGAAATAATTCATTTTCAGCCCTTAGCACTGAGTTATATTAAAATGAAAGTCTCTAAAGCAGCTGCAGAGCTTGTAAAATGATGAGGAATTATCAGGCCAAAACCAAGGGGAATGTTTGACCTGAGAGGAGTAAAGGAATCCACCAACCTAGACACGCAAAGCCCTTCAAGGCCACAAGGGGGCATATGACACAGTCAACAATGCCAAGCAAGCCATCCCCAGGGCAAGGATGATTCAGAAGTCAGTCAATTTTCCCTTCCTTATATTCCCCAAACTTCTTGACTCCTATCCCCTCTTCCTGGGTACTGTAAGAAAAGTTGCTTTTGCAGGGGAAAGGTGGGGTAACATCCTTAGACATTTTAACCACACATTGGCCCTTGGACAGATCTGTGGCCCAAACTCACCAATGAACTAAGTGGTGGTGGTGGCAAAGTAAGTAGGCGGGGCAGAAAGTCAAAATGCCTCGTGCTATGATACAGTACAGTTTTCTCAGACTCATAGCACTCTTAAGAGCCTGGCATAGGGAAAAGAAAATCTCTTCTGTTGGAATCTATCTTCACCCTAGGGCTCAGGGAATTCTCCCAATGACTTCTTGTTAATATTACTACACAGCAGCTTGGGAGGGAGCTGAGGAAGGAATGAAGGACGCAAATTCTGAGTGCTAGGTCAGGGAACAGCAATAAATTGATTCTGACCAAGGTAATGACATTTCAGGTCTGGCCTGCAGCAAGGTTGGCAGAGCACACCAGGCAGAAGTGGGCTGGGAAACCCTGTCAGTGTAAATCAGCCAGCAGAGGCAAGCCCTGACTCGGTGAGTGAGTGGGGATGTGCTCAAGAGAAATCAAGGGCAGTGAGAGCAGCGCTGAGGTATGGTAGAGGCCAGCCCGTAAATGCATGCTGTGGTGTTCCGCACACTTGTCCACACATTGGCTCTCAGAGTTCCCATGGCAAAAACCAACGAGGCAACATGATCACTTACTTTTTTCACAACATTCATTGGGTTAAAAAACAAGATCAAAATGACAGTAACAATTCCTTCTCCTCTTGTTACCCCACCCCTACCATTAGTGAACAGTGTGCTACACTCTACATGCATTACTCTTTACTCTTTTTATTATTATTATTATACTTTAAGTTCTAGGGTACATGTGCACAACGTGCAGGTTACATATGTAAACATGTGCCATGTTGGTGTGCTGCACCCATCAACTCATCAGCACCCATCAACTCGTCATTTACATCAGTTAAAACTCCCAATGCCCTCCCTCCCCTCTCCCCCCTCCCTAAGAGGCCCCGGTGTGTGATGTTCCCCTTCCCATGTCCAAGTGATCTCATTGTTCAATTCCCACCTATGAGTGAGAACATGCGGTGTTTGGTTTCTGTTCTTTACTCTTAACAATAGTCCCAGGAGGCAAATGCATCGTCCCTATTTCACAGATGTGGAAACCTGAGGATTAGAATGTCAAATAACTTGAGTAAGTCACATAGCTATGAAGGGAGGAAGCCAGGATTTGAACCACAAGGTCTGCCTTCAGTACGCACACGCATGAACCACCGCGCTCCACTGCCCCGCCTGGTAATCAGATCACAGACACAGGACCTCATGCTACAGAGCAGGGCTACTCCAAATGTGGTCTGCAGACCAGTGGTTTTCTTACCGGCAAACTGGTAAGATTGAATGCAGAATTTAAGAATAAGCATTTAGAGGCTTTTATAAAAATGTAACATTGCTGTGACAGCCAAACCCATGATCATTTTTCCATAATTAACTGTATTTTACAATGAACTGGTGGTGGATGGGAGAAACACCTGTTCTTCACCCAGATAGTTTAAAAAGCACTGCTGTAGGGTATAGTGAAAAAAAATCACATCACCATCCTTCTGCCTTTAACCTAATTATCCTATGGACCAAAATAACATGATCCACAGGCAGCCCTCTGTTGATATGGCTTCTAAGCTTTTGCCGAGCAAGTGTGGGGATGCTGCGACAATACCCTGGAATGCAGATCCAGTGCCTTAAATCATCTTGGTGTGAGCAGCACTGACCAAAGGATCTGGTCAGAATGCGGGGATGAGTTCTTAACCATGTCACTTCTGCTTAGCAGAGCTGACGGCAACATTTACGCCCTGTTCCAAGGAATCTCCTTTGGACTCACCTCCTCCCTGCCGAGTTTCCACAGCCTCTCCTCTCACTCATATCACTGCTGTAACATTCATCACACTAGACTCTGACGATCTCTTCCTAAGTCAGTCTTCCTAGTCAGATCACAAACCCTTAAAGGGCAGAGACTTTGTCTCATTAATTTTTATGTTCTCAGCACAGAACAGGAATGCGGTTGATGCTCAGATCATGTTTTGTTGAACTAGTCGACTGATTCATGGCTTTTCCCTTAGGTCCTCCTCCCTTAGGACACTGCGAATGTGAAAATACTCAGCTAATTTTAGGGTTGCAATCAAATGACCTCAGTTGAGCCTGTAAATTTTCATTGCTGAAGGATTTAAGGAAAATATTGCAAGCCTCAGCTGTGGGTAAAAGAGAAGCTTATTTCATAACAGACTGTTACGAAAGTAAGATCTCCCATCACGCTCCCAACAGGAAGCACCAGGAGTCCAGGTTAGTGCTGCTCTCCTGTTAGCCAGCTTAACTTGACTTGGTAAAGTCCTTGTATGGTGCCCAGATAATTTCCATTACCCTGAAATATATTTTCCTTTTCCTGGCAGTGCTTGAGATCTAAACTAAGACCCTTGGTCATCCTTTGCTCACTCCCTTTTTATGATTTTTGAGCCAAATTTTACTATAATCTTCTAGATCTTTACAAATCTGCACTTGCAGAGTCTCCTCTGGAGTCTTCAGTTTGCTACTTGTCCAGGTCTTATCTTTTCCATGCAAATTTACATCATCAGCATTGATAAATCGAAAACTCTATTCCACTTCCATCACCCTGTCCCCCAAGTTGGACTGGGGTTATTCCCAAACCAGGGGTGATTTCTACTGCACATGTTGATATGGTTTGGCTCTGTGTCCCCACCTAAATCTCATGTGGAAAACTAATCCCCAGTGCTGGAGGTGGGGCCTGGTGGGAGGTGATTGGATCATGCTTGTGGATTTTCCCCTTGGTACTGTGTCGCAATAGTGAGTTCTCATGAGATCTGGCTGTTTAAAGCGTGTGGCACCTCCCCGACCCTCTCTTGGTCCTGCTTCTGCCATGTAAGATGCCGGCTCCCGCTTTGCCTTCTGCCATGAGTAAAAGCTCCCTGAGGCCTCCCAAGAGGCAGATGCCACCATGCTTCCTGCACTGCCTGTGGAACCATGATCCAATTCAACTTCTTTTCTTTATAAATTACCCAGTCTCAGGTATTCCTTCATAGCAATGCGAGAATGGACTAACACACAGGTACATATACACATTTATTACACTTTGATTTAAAATTCAAGCTCAAATTGGGGAATTGCTAAAGCCAGAAATGATGACCCACACACCAAGAGGCATTGGCAAGGACCTCCTTCCCCCAGTGTCTCACATATTTGAGGATACCCCGGAATGGCAACGTGTGATGCATTGTAAGGTCCTACTAATAAATCTGAATGAAGCCTTAAGAGAAACTGTAGAGTTTAAGGAAGTTTTCTTTTTGAAGGATAGAAATCTCTCAATAACTTAATAATTAATACTATGCTTCAGAACTTTTTTTTTTTTTTTTTTTTGAGACAGGCTGTCACCCAGGTTGGAGTGCAGTGGCACGATTACTGCTCATTGCAACCTCCACCTCCCAGGCTCAAGCGATCCTCCCACCTCAGCCTCCCAGATAGCTGGGATTACAAGCGAGCATGACCACTCTTGGCTAATTTTTGCATTTTTTGCCCAGGTTTGTCTCGAAGTCTGGACTCAAGCGATCCACCCACCTCAGCCTCCCAAAGTACGGGGATTACAAGCATGAACCACCATGCCCAGTTCTACTTCAGAACTTCTAAAGAACTGAGCGGTATGAAAGGCAGGTGATATTCTCTTCGTATTATATGTGAAGCAGAAATGTAAATACTTTTCAAGTTTGCATAGTGAGCTTGAGATAAAGCTTTTATCAGAACCAAGTTTCCTAACATCCAATTCAGTATTCTCCCCACACATAGACTATAGACAAATGCCAGTGAATACCCGTAAAGCTGAAAGACACATCTGGATAGAACCTCAACAGCTGACAGCAAAGCGAACCAATCAGAGACCTCAGTGACAGAGCAGATTTCACTTAACTGTGGAAGCCATCATCAAACTTACCTTTTAAAGATCTCAAGTGCTGAACAGCCATTCTTAAAACTGTAAGTTTGTCCAGTTTACGCGCCATGGGGTTGCACTGAGGGATCATTGCAGACAGTTCTTCAATCAGGTTATTCATTTTATCTCTCCTCCGCTTTTCGGTTTGGCTATGAGCTTCTCTAAGAGGGAAAAGGAACTTCCTTTATATTTAACATTCGGCAGACCTCCAGACCCCCACCTGTGGCGCTCAGTGGAGCAGATGCTGAGCCCAGCAGGCACACACTGTTCTTCCTCCTAACTTGGGTCCCTGCAGTTGTCATTGAGGGAAGAGGAAAGCGCTGCTGAGACCAGGAATAGCATTCATAAAACTCGCTGCCCTTGGTCAGTCCCTCCCTACCTCATTTTCTGAAATCTTTAAGAACGAAGACAACTGTCTGAGAGCCTAGGTGGTTTTTCTACCTGTCTCCAATATTAGAGAAGAGATGGGTGCCCTTTTGTTCAAAGCTAACTATTCTCTGGCATTTGCATAAATAGTTGTCAGCATCTTAACCTCATTATTTTTATAGCTCCTTATCAGGGGTCTATTAATGTGCTCAAGTATCTTCCCCCCTGAAAAAAAAAACCCTTTCCCTAATATTCTAGTTGTTTTATGTTCTTGCTACTGTCTTGCCCCCTCAGCAAGCTCCCTGAAAGAGTGCGGTTTCCACTCAGTCTTTCATTTCCCAGGCATTCTGTCCATCTGTAGCATCAACCTTCCACAACCCGTGCCCCACTAAAACTGTCCTAGCGAAGATCGTTCTCTCTTGCAATCTCTTGCTGATCCCTGCCTTGAATCTGACACTGCTGACACTTCTCATTCTCCCCTGGTTTCCACAGCCTCTCTGCCTCCTCGTCCTCCTCCACTCTCCCTGCTCAGCTCAGTCCCCTCGTCACCTTACCCAGCTCTTACTTGATCCTTAAATATTGGTGTGTACTAAGATTCCCTGCTCAGCACCGCTCTCTCCTCACTCTTTATTCACCCTGAGATCTCATTCCCTCACAAAACTTTACAGCTACTCATAAGCTACTGGTTATTATGACCCTATCTCATTCATACTTCACTCAGCTCCTGACCTATGGAACTAGAATTACAAATCTAAACGATTCTCAAGAAATCTAAAACTCAGGAAACCCCAAACTGAATGCATTCTCTGCAATGTACCCCCATTTTCAATTCTTCCTATAGTACTCCTGATTTATTATTCCTTCTATAGGGTTTATCTTGGTTGGTAACACAACTGCTCAGTCTAGACCAAGCTTGTCCAAACTGCACTCCAGGATGGCTTTGAATGTGGCCCAACTCAAATTCATAAACTTTCTAAAAGCATTATGAGCTTTTTTTTTTTTTTAAGCTCACTAGCTATCACTGGTGTTACTGGATTTTATGTGTGGCTCAAGACAATTTTTCTTCTTCCAACGTGACCCAGGGAAGCCAAAAGATTGGATATCCCTGGTTTAGACCCTTCCTCTTCACCCTAAAAAGCCAAATAATCACAAACTCCTGTCGATTCTAGATCTTAAAATATTTCTTAAACATGTCTTCTCTTCCTCTCCATTCCCTCTGTCACCATCTTAATTTAGGCTCATTGCATTACCCCAGAACCTTTTAAACTGTTGTTCCTTCCTCTCCCAGTCTATCCTATGCCTTCCGGAATTATGTAGTAAAACAAATCAAGTCACCTAATCCCATTGCACAAAACTGTTCACTGCACATCCACTGCCCAAGAAGACTAGCCAGATTCCCTAATTATAGGCCAAGGTTCTCCCTGACCTGCCTCATGTCTTCATGTCCAGTTTCTCTCTTCAAGACTTTTCCCGACAGCTCCACATGTCCCACAGCAGCAACGTGCAAAGACTTGCTCGTCCTCACACACCTCCTCCATGCCTTCCTCTTTACCCGGCTTACAAAGTCCTTTCTGACTGCACTGTTGGAGAAATCCTATTCTTTCTTCAAAATCCCGCTCAGTTATTCTTCTGGGAAGCTTTCTCTGACTACTACACGATTAATCACTGCTCTCTCTAAGCCACCTCAGTACCTTCCATACCACCACCCCTATTTCATCAAATCTAAGAGCCACCAATTGTAAGACGCACGATTATTTAAAGCATCACAAGAGAAAGAAATGCTGCCAACTGACAGGAAGATGCCACTGATAAGAAATTTCCACAGAAAATAAAACGTAGAGAGGAAAAGCGTATCTTAGATTTCAAGAATTACACGATTTTACTCGTCACACTTTGCTGCAAGTCCCTCTCCTACAACACACAGCAACTCCGGAATTTCTCTATTAGAATAGTTTAGGGGCAATCTGATGGGAAAGAGGGTAAGTGGGAGACTTCCCTGATCTGTTTTTACAAAGACTTTAAATTGGATAAAAGAAAATGTAATTTTTCCAGATAAAAGAGTAGGGAGGTGGGTAGGGAGGAACATCAACGAAGGCTGTGGGAGCTAACACACTCCCTGCCCCAACCATTCACCCTTGGCAATGACACTCCTGGAACAAAATACATACTGTTGGATGAAGTGGATAGGATTCCAATTAGATGTGTATTCACATAAAATTCAGTTATCTACTCATACTTTGTTCTATTTGTGAGCAATTAGATATTTTTCTTTTTCTTTTTAAAGCCAAGGTCTCACTCTGTTGCCCAGGTTGCAGTGCAGTTGTATGATCACAGCTCACTGCAGTCTCAAACTCCTGGGCTCAAATGATTCTTCTGCCTCTGCCTTCCAAGGAGCTGGGATTACAGAGCATCTTGATTAAAATTAAAGTGTTATGATTAAAAGAATATTGTAGTTACACTCTCACTAGAAGGATCACCTCTTCTTTCTAACAGTATTCCCCATCAGCATGGACAGCAGCGATGGATAGAGACGCCTGACTCCAGGATGTACAGCAGAGGAAGGGGTGCTCTCTCTGAGCCAGGATCTGGAGAGAGATGAGAGCAGGGTGGGAGAAAGCCCACGGTGGAGATGGTGAATGATAATGCTGGGAGCCAGGAAACCCAGGGCAAGGTGAAAGAACCAATGTCTGAATAAGGTACTTTACTTGAAGGAGCTGCACCTGAAAAGGTTTCTGGAGGCTTTCATTAAGGAAAGGCATAATTACCCAGAGGCCAGCTCTCTGCTTAATACTTCATCAGAGCTCTGGCTCCTAATTCTGTGTACAGTTACTGCCACTTTGAACCACAGCAGTATTCTGTAGAATCCTATCAGAAAACAAAATAAATGGAGAAAAAGCAAAACTCTGATAGGCCATGTTGCCAGATGGAGAAAAATATCTTGTTGTTGTTGTTGAAAAAATATGTTGAAATAATTGACAAAGAACTTACGAGGATGGGTTTCCGACAGTCAGATGCTCCTCATAAGTAACTGATTTGTTTAAGTCATGAATCAATTTTTCTTTAGTGCTTAAAGAAAATAATATTCTTTTTTTTGAAAAAAGCTATTCTAAGAGAAAGTTAAAGGCATGAAAGCCAAAATGTTATCCAAGTAGACAGAAAAGCAAGACAACAGGTGCCTGATAACATTGCTTCTCAGAGCATAACAAGACAAAAAAGTCTCATCTTCAAGTCCTTCTATCTTGGCATCACCTTTGCCTTAGGCTACAGGCTTGCCTTTGTGTACCTTTCCACTCACCATATACCATCTCAACAAGTCAATGTACCTGAAGGCCTTCATTTTAACTTGGTGTTCACCATCTTCCACTCTACAAAAAAGCAGGATAAAATATCAAACTACATGAAATACCTTTTCTGTAGTTCTTGAGAGAGAAACAGATGTGAGATTAAGTCCAATCATCCTAATTCCTATAAAATCCTTAGCTGTAAATGCTCCCTTGAGCACCTAATGACCTGAAATGATTACTACTGTCTACAGGAATAATTCTCTTCCTAACGCTGACAGGCAACATCATTCCCATAAGGATAACAAAAGTTATGTTAACTGACAGTGAGCAATAATGAGTGTATTACTTGGATATGATCTCATGACAAACTTGAGCAATAGTAAGATTTTCATAGAATTAACATTAAAGTTATTAAGATCATTGATGGCTTAACCAAAAACTTTATGATAGCTATATTACAACAGCCTGAAAATGGATTAAGAATCCCAGACCTTTAATCAAAAGGAATTTATTCTGCCTAAAAATCCATCTGGATGGTAACAAATATTGAAAACTGGAAACTCTTGCCAATAATATTAATTTTCACATTAGTATAGTTCCTAGCATCAGAAATGTACTCATCAGACCACTACTAAAATGAAAAACATTGGTAGTGATAGAAGACTGTCAGCATTTAAAAATTATGCAGGCTGCATAGCTTTTAAAAATATGTAATCTTAAAAGATATATTTCCAAATGTATCATTTTGTGAGAGATTTGAAAAATTCCAGGAAAACCACCCATAATCCCATCTGGAAGTAATCACAGTTAATATTCTAACATGTCTCCTTCCAGCGTTTCCTAAACATGTAGATACATACAATGATTATTTAACTTAGCCATGGTGCATGGGTACCATGTGGATATTTCTGTGTGTTCTACATATAAATAAAACTCAGATCATAGTATATAATTTTCATGTCGTCTTATTCATTTAACATTCTAACATGAATATTTCTGCATAGTTTCAAATATTCTTGGAGAACATGGTAGCCCATTGATTAGTTAAATCATAATTCATTCATTTGCTATTGTTGGATATTTAAACATTCTAATATTTTCAATATCATAAATAATATGGCTAAGAATATTGTGGTGTGGGCATCTCGAATTACACTCTAGGATAAATTCCTAGGAGTACAATTTATGGATAAATATTTTAAGGCTTCTGATTCATCTTAACAAATTTCCTTCTTTATAGATATTTAAAAATGAACATTTTTCAGGCTTTGAAAAAAGTTTGGCCTACTTTAGAACTGTCTTACTCAGTTGAACTCTTTTGAAGTTTCAATATTTTTCTACTTAAAAAAAGAGAATGCTTATAGAAAAGTTAATCAAATTTATAAAGAGATGCTTATAAATATTCCAAATAAAAAAGACCACAAAGACTAACGCTTAATCAAGTGGTGCTTTTCCTTTTCACAGTTTCAATCAAGAAGAGCTTTTATATTTATGGTACTTTATCAAAAATATTTCCACACTTGATTCTCACAGCACAGTGATGAAGTTATTACTATCCCCATTTTACAGATGAAGGAGTTGAGTAAAGTTAATGACTGTCCAAGGTCCTATAACTAGTAGGAGGCCAAGCAAAGACTATTCAACACAGGCTGGCCTTCCACCATACCTGACCTGGTGTGCCTTCCACCATACCTGGCCATTTCTCTCACCACTGTCAGCCTGTTGTGTGGCTGGTACAAATAAAATTAAAGTTTCTCTGAGGCAAAAGAGAGGGTCAGATTAAGTCAGCTTCTTTTCTCTTTTTAGCCATCTTAAAGGAATGAACAGAAAACAATTATACGGGTCAATAATTTTCTTCCTAATAGTCTGGAATTATATATAATTGTCCCTCAGCATCCGTGGGGGACTGGCTCCAGAACCTCCCGCAGATACCAAAACCTGTGGATGTTCAAGTCTCTTCCCAGTATTTGCATATAACCTATGCACATCCTCCCATATACTTTAAATCATCTCTAGATTACTTACAATACCTAATCAATGTAAATGCTACGTAAATTGTTGTTATACGGTATTGTTTAAAGAATAATAACAAGAAAAATAAGTCTGATCTGTTCAGTACAGACTTGCTTTTTTTTCTGGATATTTTCAATTTTTGATTTGTTGCCCATAGATATGAAGGACTGACTACATATATGTACATTACTTCAATTTCAAAAGGTAAACTTTGACCTTTTAAGATCATGTTTTCGCTTTGATCACTGGCATTTTAGCAAATGAACTGAGTGAATTTGCCTCCTTGGTGAAATTCAAATATACTGTACTTATTAAATGCAAATACCCTTCTATTTAATGGCCCCTGGCAGAATAGAATAAAGGCAAGATCTTGTTAGTCAAACAGTTCATTTGTTTGTAGGACAAATCTAGATAATTAGTAAATTTGGTCTATAATCCTAACATTTTACAAATTTTTACAAATGTGTTTTAATAAGCTTCCTGATATTAATAATGTTCACATTACTGGGATACATTTTCTTAGTGCAGCACCTTATGTTACAGTAATAGAATTTCAGACACAATGCAAAGTTTTCTTGAAAACTATTTTCACTGCATTTTGAATGAAATGTAGGCATTCTTTCTAAATTAACCAAAGACAAAGTTAGAGGCAGATGCAATCTCAAAATATTCCCCAGATTTGCCACTTGTCAGGCGTTCCTCTTTTTGAAACGTGCTTCCTTTGATTTCTGTGTGCCGCTCCCACTTCAGAGCCATGCCTTCACATAGTCTGGGCAGGCTTCCCCTCATCTTGTACTATCTTTAGGTCAGCACCCCTAGAGTATATCCTCAGCCCCCAATCTCCCCACTCCATAAGCTTCTCCCAGTGACGTCACCCACATCATCAGTTCAAGTACTTTTTGTGCATTAATGATGTTTGAGTCTCTAACTCCAGGCCAGGCCTCCACCCTGAGCTCCAAATCCTCACGTCCATCTTCCTGCTTGAAGGTTCTATAAATATCCCATTCTTAGTGCGTCCAGAACTCAACTCATCATCTTTGCCTCAATATAAGTGAATGAAAATACCACCCTCCAGCTAGAAGCCCAAGTCAGAAAACGTGGGCACACTTTATATCCTCCTCCCAATGAACAATCATGAAGTCCTATTGATCCTATCTTCTAAGTGTGTCATATGTCCCTTCCTTTCCCTCCCCTTCCTGTTCAGGGCCACTCTCTTTGATTGAAGCTCAGAAAACCTCATCCTTGGCAAGAGCTATTCTCTGTGGTTCTCTCTGCCTACTGGATCTTCCTCCTTCAGACCATCCTCCATGCTGTTTCCAGGGTGATTCTTTGAAAACTGTAAGACTGTACTACTCACACCTACCAGGATGGCTATAATCAAGCAACTGAAAATAATAAGGATCAGTGAGGATGTGAAGAAAATGGAACTCTTGTACACTACTCATGGGAATGTAACGTGATGCAGTCACCGTGGAAAACAGTATAGCAGTTCCTCAAAAACTGAACAGAATTATCACATAACCCAGCAACTCTCTCCTAGGCATATATCCAAAATAATGGAAAGCAAGGACTAAAACAGGTATTTGTACATCAGTGTTCATGGCAGCATTATTCACAATAGCCAAAAAGTGGAAATAACCCATCAACAGAGGACTGGATAAATCAAATATGGTATATATACACAGTGGAATATTATTCAGCCATAAACAGCAATGAAATTCTAACGCATGCTATAATATGGATGAAACTTGAAGACATTATGCTAAGTGAAATAAGTCAGACAAAAGAACAAACACCATATAATTCCACTTTGGTTTTTTTTTGAGATGGAGTCTCGCTCTGCCGCCCAGGCTGAAGTGCAGTGGCACGATCTTGGCTCACTGCAACCTCTGCCTCCTGGATTTAAGCAATTCTCCTGCTTCAGCTTCCCAAGTAGCTGGGACTACAGGCACCCGCCACCACGCCTGGCTAATTTTTTGTATTTTAGTAGAGACAGGGTTTCACCATGTTGCACAGGCTGGTTGCAAACTCCTAAGCTGAGGCAATCCACCTGCCTCGGACACCCACTTATGTGAAATATCTAGAATAAGCAAATTTACAGAGCCAGAAAACGCACTAGAGGTTAGCAAGGGATCGGGAGAGAGGAGAATGGGAACGCTGTTGTTTATGGGCACAGAGTTTTTCTTTGGGGTGATTCAAAAGTTTTAGAAATAGAGGTGATGGTTTGTAATACTGACTATAATTGATGTCAATTAATTGTACACTTAATAGTGGTTCAAATGGCAAATTTCACGTTATTTATATATATGTGTTTGTGTATATATGTGTGTGTGTGTGTGTATTTAACATAATAAAAAAGTGAAAAAGTGCAGAGGCAATCAATTCTTTTAAAAATATCAATCTGATCAAGTTCTTCTTATGCTTAGAATTCTTCAGTTTTCCTACTGCATTCAAGACAGTTTTCAGATTCTTCAGTTCAGCAGATCTTTCATGACTCAGTTCATGTTTATCCCTCAAATCTCAATAGCTCACCTCCCTCTAAGTGCACCCTCTGCTCTATGGTGACAACTACTCATTTCCTGATCAGGAGTATGCAACTACATACCTGTATGCCTGCACGGTTGTTCTTTTCACCTAAAATATCTTTTCCACTCCTGCTCTGTAGACTCACTTCTTCTCTTCTGTTTTTAAATGTATTTTTATAGAGATAGGGTCTCACTCTGTCACCCAGGCTGGAATGCAGTGGCGTGACCATAGCTCACTGCAGCCTTGAACTTCTGGGCTCAAGCGATCTTCCCACCTCTGTCTCCCAAAGTGCTAGGATTACAGGCATGAGCTATCACACCTGGCTGTAGACTTATTTCTATTTTTCATTTAAAACTTAGCTTAAGTCAACTTTTCCAGGAAGCATTTAAATCTTACTTAAATGCCTCACTTTATTTGCTGACATAGTACCCAGGGTCTCTATTATAGCAGCTATGATGATGTAAAATAATTGCTTGTATCTTTTCCACTTGCACAAGTTTCCTGTACCTTTGTGTCTCTATCTCTCCTAGTCTACTGACTGTCACATAGTAGCAACCCAATAAATGTTTAATGACTATATTCCACAGATTCATCAAAGACCCTTTTAAAGAACCAGCTCTCTGGCCAGGTGCGGTGGCTCATGCCTATAATCCCAGCACTTTGGGGAGGCCGAGGAGGGTGGATCATGAAGTCGAGATTGAGACCATCCTGGCCAACATGGTGAAACCCCATCTCTACTAAAAATATAAAAATTAGCTGGGCGTGGTTGTGGGCGCCTGTAGTCCCACTTACTCGGGAGGCTGAGGCAGGAGAATCACTTGAACCTAGGAGGCGGACGTTGCAGTGAGCCGAGATTGCGCCACTGCACTCCAGCCTGGTGACAGAGTGAGACTCTGTCTCAAAAAAACAACAACAACAACAAAAAACCCAGCTCTCCATTCAAAACCAACAGTGCCACAGAAAGGGTGGACATTCTCACATATTCTTCGTTTTTAAAAATATCCAGCACTCTGAGGCTACGTGAGTGAAATCAGCCTCACCTATTGACTGGCTTTCCTGCACTGAGTCCTGGGGAAGGACACTATATAGTCAGCACCACGTACTTTGACATCCATAATTTCATTAAAGGGAACAGAAACTGGTAGGATAAAGGAAGGATTGGGGCAGAAAGGAGCAGCTCTGGGATAGATGATGAGCAAATCAGCGGGACATGTATTAAGTTTTCACTGCCACTCTGTCCTCTTCAAGTAGGGGAGGGAGTATGTCAAAAATGGTCCAGGACTTACCTGCTGCCACTGGAGGCTGATATTTCTATCCTCGTTGAAAGAAGATAGGTAAGGGGATTCTCAGAAATCTTTTCCACCACTTTTTCTGTCATGATTCCTGACCTGGAAGGAAGGAGGCCTTGGGTCACCCCCTACCCAGATGTTTGGGGAATGGACAGCAAGCCTGTACTCAAGTGGAGAAAGCAGCCCACTCTGTCCAGCTACCCAGTGACAGGAAGCTGGGTGAAGTGGAGAAAATACCACATCTGGAATCAGGCATTCTAACAAGCTGTGTGATGCTGGGCAAACTGCTTGACATTTCTGAGTTCTAGCTTCTTCCTCTTCTAAAATGTGAATAGTTACCTAAATAATCTTCAGTGTTGCTTGCTGACAAAAAAATGTCGGTACTGTCAGTACTTTGCATGTTTCTTATATTTTTGCTAGCACTGACCCCACTTTCCATTTCACCCCCAAACCACTGCAAGGTCTCATCTGTGCCCCGCCATGTGGCACGAAGCTGGGCTACCTCTATATTCACTGTTCCCACTTCAATTGCTGAAATCATATTTAGACACCAAGAAAGAACAGTGGTGCTTATGATTCTGAAGAATAAGGAAGCAAACAAAAAGAACTAACAGTCACTTTTAGCTCAAGTTAAGTGGGGGCTATTGACTGATAATTTAGGATGGAAAACAGCTAGAGAGTCTGAAAAGACTGTCACTTTATCAACTATGGTTTTCAGAAGCATCCATGTTAATGGAAGAGACTAAGGGAATAGAGACAACCAAAAACAGTAGAAAACCTTCCAATCTTTTATATGTGGCATGGGAAGTGCTTTAGTATTTACTCTACTGTCTTGGGAACTGAAGCTAAATTATAAAGTGTATTGGGAAGAACTGAGGTAAAAAGAGCTAGCATGTGCCCACTTTGTAAATGAAGAGCTGAATATCATCCCCCAACAACAACAACAACAAAGAGCCAGGATGTTTTATTATGTCCTTATCTTGACCTCCAACTCCCAACGCAGGATTTTTCCCTTCATTCATGATGGAGAAATGTCATCAACTCTCACATTTATGTAAAGTACCAGCCTATGATGAGTTGCTCTAGATGGCTATCTTTATTTTTCCTTAATGTTTTCTAAATTATTATACCTATTTATTTAGAGATGGGGTCTTGCTGGTCTCAAACATCTGGGCTCAAATGAACCTACCTCAGCCTCCCGCGTAGCTAGTACTGCAGGCGTGTGCCACTGTACCTGGCTTGCCCTGATGTTTTCACCATATAAACTCCAGCTTTGGGGAAGTCATTAAAGAATATTTAGGACTGAAGCTGCAGGGGTAACAAAAATAAATAAGGAGACAGTGGGTATTCTTAACATTGACTTTATTATCAATTTGACTTAACAAATACGGAAAGCACGAGTTTTATATGATTAAACTGACCACAGATAACCAAGGGTTGGTTATTCTATACATGATGAGTAAGGTGAGAAGTAGTCATTATTATTTTAAGTCAAACATCCAAGGTGTTCTCCTCATGTTTATAAGGATTTCAGTAAGGAAGGCAAGTATCTTGCCATGACCATAAACATTAACCAAATAAAACTCATGTTCCTATGTCTCTTTCAGACTCCAGCTGACCCTCCTAGATACCTTTCTTCAGAGCTGGATGGAAAAGTTCCAAGTCAGTCATTGACAAAGGTAGCAGTTGGGTAGATAAGTACTCTGCTGTCTCCAAATGTTACCATGAACTTGGAAATAATTAAAGATTTTAAAAGGAATATTTTCCTCTTCTCCCTAGAGTCAAAGCTCTCACTGGGTTAGAGGAACAAATTCACTTACTGGGATGGGTCTGAATCACTTGCTTTGCGTTTTCGTGGAAACTCTGTCATGTGTGAGCTGAAGGACCCCATAGCTGTTGGTCCTGTCCTTGGACTCACGCGGCTGGAAACCACAGGAGCAATGTGCTGGTTCTCCTCTCTCAACACTTTACCTACGGGCAGCAGAGTACAAGACATTTATTTTAAACATTAACTTTTACTTTGTACATATCCATATCACACATTTTAAATGACTTTTCTATCTTGATATTTAAAAAATACCAGCTAAGGCCAGGCGTGGTGGCTCATGCCTGTAATCCCAGCACTTTGTGAGGCTGAGGCAGGTGGATCACCTGAGGTCAGGAGATAAAGACCAGTCTGGCCAACACAGCGAAACCCCATCTCTATTAACGTACAAAAATGAGCCAAGTGCAATGTGGGCATCTGTAATCCCAGCTACTCAGGTGGCTGAGGCAGGAGAATCCCTTGAACCTGGAAGGTAGAGGTTGCAGTGAGCTGAGATCGTGCTACTGTACTCCAGCCTGGGCAACAGAGCGAGACTCCATCTCAAAAAAAATGTGTGTGTGTGTATATATAGATATAATATATGTATATAATATATATATACACACACATATTATATCTATATATACACATCATATATATACACACATTATATATATATATCAGCCAAAACCAACATAACATAGAATGAAAGACTAATTGTGTACACTCAAGTATTAATTAAATAAGCATTTCTTAGTTCATGCTTTTAAGGCTTTCCTCCTACATTGTCAAAGAAATTTGAATATGGTAGAAAACACAGAAAACGAAGAAAAACAGAAAGGAAGGGGGAAAAACCATTTTTCCCCCAATGTTACACCAATTAATGTTACATCAATTAATGTTACAATGCTTCTGAGATACTTCTTCCTAGAATTTTTTTCTATAGTTATCATTAAGGTAATTGAAGTCATACAGTATACAGTAGTCCCCTCTTATCTGCAGTTTGCTTTCTGTGGTTTCAGTTATGCACAACTTTGGTCTGAATATTAAGTGGAAAATTCCAGAAATAAATCATTCATAAGTTATCAATTGCACATGGTTCTGAGTAGCATGATGAAATCTCACACCACAGTCATCCCTCTATCTAGCATATCCATGCTGTATATGTCACCTGCCTGCGAGTTGCTTAGTGGCTGGCTAGGTTATTAGAGCCACTGTTGCAGTACCACAGTGCTGGTGTTCAAAGAACCCTTATTTTGCTTAGTAGTGGCCCCAAAGCACAAGAGTAATGATTCTGGCACATTGTTATAATTGTTCTATTTTATTATTAATTATTGTAGTTAATCTCTTACTATGCTAAATTTATAAATTAAACTTTTATCATAGGTATGTATATATAGGAAAAATTCATATATGTAGAGGTTGGTATTATCTGCAGTTTCAGGCATGCACTGGGGAGTCTCAGAACATATCCCCCATGGGTAAGAGGGACCGACTGTAGTCAGATTTATGCATCATTGTGACATAATAACTTTCCAGTTTTATTATAAATTCTTTATAAATGACTCTAATGGATGTATAACACATTATCATGTAGCTGTGTCCAGTTATTTAATCACTCTCCTATTGTTAGAACCGGCATTTAATTTTATTTTATTTGCCAGTACAAATATGTATTTTGGTACATAAAGCTTTTTATCTACTTCTGGTTATTTTGGACAGTATCCCAGAAATGGGTTAACAAGGTCAAGAGACACCAACATTTTTAACTCTGAATTGCTAAGTGTGATTTTAAAAAATCCTTTTTGTCTCAAGTGAGGTTTATTAAATGTTTTACAAAATATAAAAATCAGAATCACTGAACCAAAATAACCTATAGTCTAAATTTGAGCCTCTGTAATTAACTATATTTCTCACATTACTATGCACATAAAAAGTTTAAGGTAATTTGTACCCAATAACACAGATTGAAAATATGTAACAATATTTACAAGGAGAATGTAATAAGTCTACAATAATAGTGGAACATTTTTAACACATCTTTGACAGTAACTGATAGATCAAGTAGTAAAAATAATGATATAGAAAATTTATCTGGCACGATCGGCAAGCTTCATATAACACACATATATGGAGCACTATGCCTAGCAGCTTGAAACACCAGTGTTCATTGTTTTTGGCCAACTATGGAGCATTTATAAAGACTGACAATATACTGGACCAAAAATCAGTTTCAAAGATTTTGACAAATTGATATCATACATAAAACATTTTCTGACTTCAGTGTAATTGTGTTGGAAGTCAGTAACAAAAAAATAACCAGAAAATCCCTACATCTTTGTAAATCAAGAATCCCACAAATAATTTATGGGATAAGAGGAAATTCAAATGTAAAATGACAAAATATTTGCAATTAAATATTAATAAAATGTCACACACAAAAATGTGTAGAGATGCATAAGCATTACTTAGAGTGAAATTTTAACAATGTTTAAAAAAAGAAAAATTGAAATTTAATAAGTAAATAATTTAAGAAATCAGAAAAAGATCAGTAAAATAAATCCAAAGAACTAGAAGAAAGAAAATCATAAAAATAAGACCAGAAATAATGAAATAGAATATAAACATATAAGAGTGTAGACCAAAAAAGCTAAACAAAGTTTCTTCCAAATGATTGGAAACTCTAACAACTTTATGGCAAGATTTTTCAAAGAAAAAAATGTACAAAAAAATAAAAAATTTGGGGTCATAATTTACATGCACAAGAAATTTAAAAGATAATAAAATATCATTAAAAATCATGCTAAATATTTAAAAATTTAGATGGAGCATTTTCTATAGAATTTTAACTTACCTAAATTGAAACAAAGAGAAATAAAAACCTGAATATTCCTATGTCCTTCCTTACACAAACTATTCCACTATATGAAAAAAGAGGGACTACCTTGACCCTCAACTTTTCTTTGTCAAGGCGGCTTACATAATTTTGATATGAAAACCTGACAATGACAGTACAAAAGGAAAATTACAGGCCAGTCTCATTCACAAACAAAAATCCAAAAATCTTAGTAAAACATTATCAAACAAAATTCAGAAATGTGTAAAAATAACCATCCATCATGACTAAGATAGTTTCATCCTAGGGATGCAGGAGTACCTTCATTTTAGTAACTAATGAATATAATTTACTACAATAACAAATAAATGAAAAACTATACAATCATCTCAGTAAGTGTAGAAATACTAATGAAGAAATATTGAAAGTGTTCTTTTTAAGATCAGAAACAACAACACCCTTATTTAATTCTATATTAGAAGACCTCACAGTAGGGTAAGGCAAGAAAAAGAAAAATGAAATATAAAATTAAGAAATAAAATTGTTTTGCTCTTATTGAGAAATGATATGATTGACTACATAGAAAATCCAAAATAATCCAATATATAAATCATTAAAGTTAGAGGATATAGCAAGTTGGCTGTATATAAATCAATATGTAAAAATCAATTGCCTTTCTATCCAAAGTAACAAATGGTAAGAAAATGATATTTAAAAGATAGAATTTATAATAATCTCAAAAATACAGAGTATCTAAAGAATAAATCTAATAAATGTATAAGGTCTTTATGGAAAAAACTAAAACTTTATTTAAAATATTTTGAAAGATCCAAATAAATGGAAAGATATGCCAGGCTTTTGAATTGGAGGCTTCAATATACTAAAGATGTAAATTATCCTAAAATAGATGTGCAATTTCTCTCAAAACACTTAATTTTTTGGTGGAACCTCTCAAGTGGAACATACAACTATGCAAACTATATACAGAAGAACAATGGGTCTTGAATAACCAAGGAAAAGGTGGGAACACTGGCCCTATCAGATATCAAGACTTGTAAAGACACAGTAATTAAGACAGTGTAGCACTGGCATGAGGATAGATAGATGAATGGAAGAGAATAAAAAGCCCAGACATGTAATACGGATATCTGCTAAATATCAAAGGTGGTATTTCAGATCAATGTGGGAGAAAAAAATCACTTTTTAGTAAATGGTCTGGGATCAATTGGTTTTCTCTATGGAAAAGATGAAACCGGACTCCCTGTGTTACACCAAATACAAAAACAAATTCAGTTGAATTTGAACCTAAATGTAAAAAACAAAAATAGAATAAAGAAACTTTTGCTATGGTTTGAGTGCTTGTGTTCCTCCCAAATTCATGTGGAAACTTAATTCCCAGTTCAACAATATTAAAAGGTGGGGCCACTAGGAGGTGATTAGGTCATGCACACTCCACCCTCATAGATGGGATTAGTGCCACCTTAAAAGGGCCGAGAGGACAAGTTTGTCCCTTCCATTCCTTTGCCTCTTCTGCCAAGTGAGGATGCAGCAAGAAGATACCATCGTAGAAGCAGAAGGAGCAGCCCTCACCAGATAGTGAACTTGCCCGTGCCTTGATCTTGGACTTCCCAGCCTCTAGAATTGTCAGAAATAACAACTGGTTGTTTATAAATTACCCAGCCTAAGGTGTTTTTTAATAACAGCAGCAATGGACTAAGACAACTCTAAAGGAGGGAGAGTATTTTTATTTCATAGAAAGAAATTCCCAAGACATAAAATGTAAAAACAATAAAGGAAAAGATTGTTAAATGTGACAATCTTTAAGTTAACGTTGATCAAAAGACACTACAAAGAGAATGAATCCACAAGCTACAAACTAGGAAAAGATATTTGTTAGACATATAAACAACAAAGGGTTAGTATTCAGATTATATAAAGAATGGCTTTGAATCAATAAGAAAAAGACCAATGACTCAATAGAAAACTGGATAAAATACTTGAATAGGCATTCATAAAAGAAATTCCGGTTGTCAACATATGGATGAAAAGATACTCAATCTCATTGGTAACCAGGAAAATCCTAAGGAAACTGTAGTGATATACTAATATATGATGGCTACAATTGAAAAATTTGATGATATCAAGTGTTGGTGAGGACGTAGAGCAATGGAAAGGCTCATGCTCTGCTGGCAGGAATGTAAGTTGCTACAGCCACTTTGGAAACCAGTTTTACATTACCTAATAAAGATGAACACATATATAATATATGACTTGGCATTGCCCTCCTAGGCATATGGAAAAACTCTTACTGTGTATTAGCTGACAGGTATA